GACCCTCCGGATCCCTGGCCCAGCGGCTCCTTGGACGCCACTGCCGAAGGACCCCTTGGTCTTGGGGTGTTTTTGGAAGCCCATGCTGGGCCCAGGCAGCGGGCCCAAATCGGTCAGGAGGGCGGCCGAACGGCCCCCTGAGGCCCCAAGAGGCCCCAAACGCCTACCATACGCCCGAAGACGACACAGCGAACACTCCCAAGAGGCTTCCGAAATACAGGAAAGCATTGATTTCCAAATGTCTTTGCATGATTTGGGGAATGCTCTGGCCTTCGGTCTTCCAGGCGTCCGAGAGCGCCCAAGAGACCCTAGAATCACGCCAAAACTATCCGAAAGGGCTTCCAGGCAGTTCAAAAGACCCCCAAAACGGCCAACAGGGCCCCAAGATGGCCCGAAGAGAGCCCCCATGACGGCCCAAGATGGCCCCAAGACACCCCCGAAGCATTCCAAATCGTGACCCGGCCGTCCAGGGAGACCGCAGTTGGAAGCAGGGTGGCCAAGAGGAATCCCCCAGAGGTCCCCAGAAAGCGCCCAGGTGGCCTCCAGAAGGCCCCAAGAAGCTTTGTAAAACTTTCATGAGGTCCCCAAGAAGCTCTCCAAGGAGGAGCCTCCGCAAAAAGGGCAGAGGAGGATGGGGAATAATTCGCAGGGGAGGGCGAGAATGAGGAAGAGGAAGAGGAAACATGAGGGAAGGATACCGAGTTACACTATTATGACGACGATGCTGGACAAGCCAACGAGGAGTTGTCGTTATTTGTTCTGGTTGATTGTCCTGCACTTCCGCCGCGAGGTCCGCCTGCATGACAATAGTCAAGGACCAAGGTGCATGGCGCGAAGCGCCAATGCAGTCTTGTATCTATATAGAGATATGTATCCTGTGACGCCGCCGAGCAGATCCACCAGTGTGCCGAGAGAACCACGCAAAAACGTTGAATTGCCCCGTAGATGCAGCGGTTCGTGCTTGCGGCGCTGCCTCCGGGGCACCCCTCGAGGGCCTTTTGCGGAAACCGTCCGGCCTCCCCAGCACCGTCCCCCAGCTTCGCTCTCCCCTCCGCTCTCCGTTTTCTTGTCATCTTCCTCCGCACTCAGTGGCCGTTCCACGGGGCCCGAGTCGCTGTTTTCTCAGAGGAGTAGTGGAGTGCATGTTCGGTGGTCTTTTATGGTACCCCTGTCGCTGTGGAAGTGCGGCGGCGGACGCTGATCTAGCAATTCGAGAAGGAGGGGGGAGGAGGAGTGGGAGGATGATGAGGAAAGGAGGAGGAGGAGGAGGAGGAGAAGAATGCAGAGGTCAGGGGCAGGCGAAATAAGAGCAGCACAAGGATGAGGACGAGTGGGATGATGGGGGGCATGAGGAGAAGGCTGAATAAGTCGAGGAGGAGGCGGCGCTGGGGAATCATGCATCTCCATAAAATTTGTCTCGTTTCGTACCCGTCCATCAACATGTTTTCATGCAGGGCCCGAGCTGCATCCGGCGCCCTGAGCTAAGAGAGGTCCGACCCAGAGTGCCATTGCATATTCACACGTGGTCGGGGTGGTTTGACCACTGGCTGTGCAGCAGCGAGCAAAGCATTGGGAGGCACACTACAACGCGCCGAAGTTGTTTTCCGAGTTGTACAGGCCCCTCCAGCCGATTGCACACATCCTGATCGCGTACACCATGTGGCGGACGTCACGTGTCACAGTCGTCATTAGATCAGTGTTGTTCTTATTGCTACAGTGTTTGTATGTTTCCGGCGGCATTGCGCCCAATTCTTCTTTGGCCGCCCATTCCCCTGTTGGTTCGCCTGTTCAGTTTGATTGACATCGATTTGCATTGTGTTCGTTCCTTTGGTTACCCCTTTCTCCTGCCCCTCTTCCTCGTCCTGTTATTCGGAGGACACTTCGACAGGGAATCGTCCAAGCCCGCCCGATGCTCACCCCGAAGTTGTGTTCCGTTCGGGCATCTTGAATCCCATTGGTTTTCAAGGTCTTTGAGCCAGGCGTGAATCAGGAAGCGGATGAGGCGGAGGGGGACAAGTAGGATGAGAAAGAGGATGAGCAGAATGACGACAAGGAGTACGAGGGCCAGGAGGAGCGAGGACGAAGACAAGAGCGATGAGATGGGGTTGGAGGAGGAGGGAAATGGATAGGGGGAGGAGAAGGAGGAAGAGTTGGGATGACTGCAGGAGGAGAGTATGAGAAGGAAAGGGATGGAGAGGAGAGTAGGATTGCAGAGTGCACGATGGGGGAGATGGTGAAAGGAGGGGGAGCACCAGGAGGAGACCGCAGGAGGTGATAGAGGACAATGGCTACGACAACGACGAGGATTGGGAGAGTTAAAGGAGGATTCAGGGGGAAGAGGACGACGACACTCCTCCCCCTCTTCGTCTTCCTCGTCCTCGTCGTCGGACGACTTGCGATGGTTACCAGCCTCCATGAGCACTGAATGGTGGTTTAGACGTGGGTTCGCCTACGTATCACATTTCTGAGGCCCCGGACTTCACGCGATGCCCTGCTGGACGCGTGCGGGCTCCCCAGAGGAGCGCGCACGACTGCGGCGTTCGCTTCGCTTCGCTTCCTCGTCGCCGGACGAAGACGGATCGGCACCACCCAAACACTGTACTGTGTGCGCGTACCGTCCCCCCCCCCCAGGGGCGACGCGCGCGCTCGGGAATCTTCTAGTCTATGCTCGGCAGCCTGCTCGGGTAACGATAGATTAAAAGATGTGTCTGCTGCATGTTCGGTTCGGACGTGCGCCTCCGAGGGGCGCGCATAATAGTATGTCCTTCTGCGCCCCAACGGAGGACGACGACGACGACGGCGGCGGACGTCGCCGAGCCCCAGGCCCAGCTACAGGCGCTGGCTTGCTGTCGTGGTGCTCGCGTACGGCACAGGCCACGACCCGCAGCTTCCCACGCCGCGCGCGTCGTCGTCGTCGTCGTCGTCGTCGTCGGTGGGACGCCTACCGTCCGATTCGATGCGATTCTACTCGCCAGTTGAGGCTGCGATTCCGAGTCGATTCGATTCGGTTCTGTTCACCGGCGTCGGCCGCTGCGATTCGGGACCATTTGTTGGCGATCCAGTCCGTTTCCGATCCGATCTTGTTTTGATTCAATCCCGCTCAGGCTTGCCTCTCCCCCAGCATCAACCATCAGAGAGGGGACACATTCCGCTACAGATACGCGTCCCTCGTCGCCACGGCTGCATTCGCCTCGGAATCTTGGTCGGGACGCGCCCCTTTCCGGCTCCCGCTCCCCCCTTTGCTCTATATAATTTCTTTGTCCCTCTGTCTCTCTCTCTCTCTCTCTCTCTTTCGCTCTTTCTCAAACTCTTCCCCACACACGCTGTGTTTTCTCTCTCTCTCTCTCGCTCTCTTTCTCCAGATCTCTCTCCCGCCTAGCTACTCTCGTTCTATCCCTCCATACATCCATCATTGTGTTTCCCTCCCTCAATCTCTCTATCTCTCTCTCTCTTTCTCTGTGTTTGTTTTGGTTCTCTCTCTCTCTCTCTCGGACTGACATTCAACGTGTATGTACCGTGCTGTGTATCAGTTCTACCTATTCTCTCTGTCTCCTCTCTCTCTGAAGCATCGTTTCCTTAATCCCAGATTCGACATCAACACTGTGACGGGGCAGTGATGTGGAGAGAATCGGCAAGCAGGCGCGTTCGAAGAGGCCACGCATCAGTCTGTGAGGACGGGGGCGCAGCGTGCATGCCAAAACGGTCAGCACTGCAGATGCCAATTGTGCCATGAAGATAAGGGATCTTGCAGGAACGGGGCCCAGGAGTTGTTTGCCGTCTTCGGGCTCCGAGGGCCCCCTGCCCCAGGACCGTCAAAAGACGACTCGGGACGAAGACTGCTTTCGCCTTGTACATCAACAAGAATTTCGAGCACCAAGAAAGTACCGAAACTGGGGGGGGGTCGCGTGTCGGGCCCTGGGTGGCGACACTAGTTCGGCAGTGTTTCGATATGTTTCTGGGTGCTCGGAATTATTTCTGCGATACCTGTACGACCACCCTTCGGGTGATAAGGAGGTCGTGGGGGGGGAGATGGGGAGGAAACAACATTTGACTCAATTGATCTCACTATCGATCTCACTCAACGGGACACCACGGGACACCGCGGGACACCTCTCGATCTCACTATCGGTCTCACTATCGATCTCGTTGTCGATCTCACTCAACGGGGACACCATAGGACACCACGGGACACCTTGGGACACCACATCGATCTCACTATCGGTCGCACTATCGATCTCACGATCGATCTCACTAACGGGACACCATAGGACACCACGGGACACTTCTCGATCTCACTATCGATCTCATTATCGATCTCATTCAACGGTACACCACGGGACACCTCGGGGCACCACATCGATCTCAGTATCGATCTCACTATCGATCTCTCTATCGGTCTCACTATCGATCTCACTATCGATCTCACTCAACGGGGACACCATGGGACACCACGGGACACCGCGGGACACCACGGGACACCGACGGACGGACGGACGGACGGGCGGGCAGGGGAGAATCATTTGTCTTGAGTCCGCCCTAGCAACGGCGGACACCACGGGACACCACGGGACACCGCGGGACATCGCGAGCCACCGCCGGACGGGCGGGAGGGGGAGAATCATTTGTCTTGATTTCGCCCTAGCAACGGCGGGTTCATTCCTCTCGCGCGCCCACGCAGCTTCGCCTCGCCCGCACGCACGACACGAACGAAACGAAACGATTTCCCGGTTGGGGGTCTCCGTTCCGCTGCGATCTCACCCCCCAACCTCCGATGGTCCTTAAGCAAGATGGGAGCAACATAAGACGAAGAGTGGGTCCAGGTGAAGGCCCTGGGTCCAGGACCAGTGTCGACCAGGACCCGACTGCTTCATGCCAGTCTTTCTGGTTTTTCAGTCTCATGGCTTGTTGCTTCTCTTTCTTGTTGTTGCTTTCTCCTCTCCTGACGCGCGCCAGCGTTCTCCGTGTACTCCGTCTTCTCGTACATGGGATTGCGACGTTTCGAGGGTGCGTTCCCGCCGCGCTGGTGTGTGCAATGCTTGCATCTTATCACCTTCTCCGTGCGTTACCCATGCTCAAGCAGCCGCTGAGTCAGAATGGACAGCGATGTGATTGCAGAGCAGACAGCAGGATTCAATCCGTGTCGGATGAAGGATATACCAACCTTTGCACTTCGCCATGGGCCAAGAGCTGCTACTGCTCCTTCTCGCCTCCCCTCCCCGTTCGCCCCCGATCTCCCGGTTCCAGCAGCATCCACAAGCCATCTTTCTTTTCCTTTCCCGCTCCTCTCCTCCGTGCTGTCGCTGATTGTTTCTGCTCACTTTAAGACGTTTGCCTTGGCGGTAATCCTCGTAACCCTAATATTGAGCCTGACCCTCCTCCTCCTCCTCCTCCTTCTCCTCCTCCCCCCTGTCGTAAGAGGAGGAGGAGGAGGAGAAGAAGAAGAAGGTCCCCCTCGTTTGAAGAGGAGGAGGGGGAGGAGGAGGAGGTTGAGGAGGAGAGGAGGAGGAGGAGGAGGAGGAGGAGGAGGAGACACGCAGGAACAAAGCAGCACGGCGAGCGGTCATGTGATGGCGGTCGCACGTAGTACGCCAGACAGTCGGCTCAGGAGGAGGAGGAGGAGGAGGACGACGACGCCGAGAACGAGATGGGGAGCAGTAGGAGGAGGCCTCGGGCGGACGAGGAGGAGGGGGAGGAGTGGGCGGGGAGGGGGAGGAGGGAGGAGGGGGGAGGAGGGAGGAGGGAGGAGGAGGAGGAGGAGGAGGAAGGAGGAAGGAAAAAGGAAGGAAGAGGAGGAGGAGGAGGAGGAGGAGGAGGAGGAGGAGGAGGAGGAGGAGGAGGAGGGGGGGGGGGGAGGAGGGAGGAGGATTGCAAAGAGCGGCTGGATCATTGGCGAGGGGGGCGCGCGCGGGCGGAGGCGCGGTGCGGGGGAACATCCTGCGGAACTACGGCCCCGACGTCGCAGTCTTGGCCGCTTGGTTCTCGCCCGCGGGGTGGTGGAGGAGGACTACGATGACGGCGAGGTGGTGTTCGAGGACGAGGTGGAAGGCAGGAGTAGGGGAGGAGGGCCTGGAGGAGGATAGAGCAGGAGTCCCCCCTTGCCCCTCTGGGTTCTCGCGGACGCGCCAGGCGGCAGGATGCGAAGCGGGGCCCGATGAGAGGGATTCGGCCAGCGGGTGCCAGAGAAAGAGGGGGAGAGAGGAGGGATGTGGAAGGAGGGTCGAAGGGCAAACAGCGGCAAACACATAAGTACAAGTGTTCGGAGCTCCGCGCGAAGTTCTTTAATCTGCGCTGGAATTCCCAGGCGGCGCCGCCCCTGGCGCACTCCACGGTCCAGGGACGGGGTTTTGCGCAGATCCAAGACATCCGCGCGGACGTCCAAGACGGGGGAAGAGAGCAGGGACGAGAAAGGAGGGGGGAGGGGAGGAATTGTGAACGCTTCCGCAATATGCGTGTGCCTAAACATCTTCATATACGTGAACATATACATGTAATTTCATATTTGCATGCTCATCTTGGCGACGCGAGCGCATTCGCGCCAATATGCATTACCTGACGGCGCATGCATCACACATGACACACAAGGGGATGTCGGTTCCCACATCCGCTAGTAGACGCATTCTTGTTCGGGACATCACCTCGCGTACGTACAGATGCGACTGGACGCAGAGGAGGGCTAAGGTTGGTATTGCCGCGGACATGACCCAAGAGCAGCAGGGATAGTTTTGAAGGAGTGTCCGCATATCTTGTGTGTCTTGTCGGGCTTGGTGAGCTCACCGCTGCATGCAGACACCATGCCGTTGTTTGGGCACTGTTCCCCGCAGGTTGGGCATGGGCTTCTCCATTGCGTTCACGTACCCTCTTGTTTTCAATTCCACCAGGGAGGCGATGCCCTTCTCTGGCGCTTCGGGAAGGGACAGTATTGAAATGGGTCGTCGTCGTCGGATGGTCTGCAGAACGGATAGCGGCTCAGTCCTTTTAGCTATTGAACGTTGTTGTCAGATACGTCTCGCTGACGCTTTGCAATGGTATGCTTGCATGCGTCTCTTTTGCGATGTGGTGACGCGTCGCCCTGGCTCATCGTATCCATGCCCGCCGCTCGCCACGGCCCCCATTGGGATGCAGCCCCGATCAAGTTTGCAAGCGACAATGATGGCAGGAGCCGCGAACTCGGCGGCGCCTGTGGGCGACGCGGGGAATGGAAGGCCGACCTCCGTGGATGCGGCAGCCCGCAAGGGCCGGGGTGCCAGTGGTTGGCAGCGGGCGCCTCGGGACCTGGAGCGCGAGGAGGCGGAGGAGGACTTCCTCCGCATCCCTCTTCCCACTGCGACTGCTTCCCCCCGCCCCCACTCCGCCTCCGTCTCTGTTTCCTTCTCAGCTTGGTCTCCCCTTTTCAGCCGTCCCACCTGGCGGCCGGTGAAGGCCGTCCGTCCAGCGGTAGCCGCTGGTGGGTGGTGCCTGCGCACGCGAGAGCCTGTCTCCAAGCCTGCCGCAGACCAGGATATCTGGCTCGCATTGGTTCTTGTCTTGTCTTGTCGTGTTTTGATGTGTTTTGCTTGTCTTCCTCCTCCTTTTCCTCCTCCCCCTCCTCCTCCTGTTCCTCCTCCTCCTCCTCCTCCTTCTCCTCTTCCTCCTCCTCTTGGACCTGGAGCTGGAGCCCATCGCGCGTGGCGTGGCGTGCCGGCTGTTGGGACCGACGAGGTTGGGCTGCACGGCCACGACGTGGGCGGCCATCGTGGGGCGACGAGGAGTTGCTTGCAGTCGTGTGCTGGGCAGCCGGCGTTTTGCTCGAGGTGTCATTCCTGGGGCACGACGGCGGCGGGGAGCAAAGCCGCAGCGTGCCTGGCTTAGCCTGGCCCCGAGGCCGCTGTCGCCGCGCGCGCGGCGGCCTTGCGCCCACGCGCGCGGCGTCCTTTTCAAACAGATTGGGGCGGGGCCGACGCGCGCGCGACTGACCCGCGCTCCTGCGGACGTAGCTGTTCATTCAAGATTGGCCACGGGCGCCGCGCGCGCGGCCGCTCTGCCCCCTTGCCGCACACTGCGTTCTCTCCGCGCGCATCGACCAGAGCCGCCGCGCGCGCGCGACCGCCGCGCCCCCTTCGCCCGCGATGTTTTTCAACGCAGCACGTGCCAGGCCCGTCACGAGAGCGGCGGCCCCGCCCCTTCGCGCATTGCATTGCCTTGCCGTGCAGAACCGGCAAAGGCCGCCGCGTGCGCGGCGGCGCTGCTTTCTGACGCGCCGCGCTTCTAAACCCAGAATTGGCCGGGGCTGTCTCGCGGGCGGCGGCTTCGCCCGTTCGCGCGCTCGGGCGTTCCATTCGGTAAGGAGCGGGTCCGCCGCCCCCGCGGCGGCCTTGTCCCCTCGCGCACTGCGCTAGCCTGTTCAGAGTGGGCCAGGGCCGCCTGGCGCGCGACCGCCTTGCTCCCATCTGTTCTCTTCTCCCCGCCCTGCCCCGTCGTTAGCTGCGGCCCTGCTCCCGCGCGCGCGGTGTCCTAACGCTCAAGCAGTGGCGAAGCGTCCCGGCTCGCCTATAGCCCCACCAAACAGTGTTCTAAGAACCTCTTGCGGTTCCCAGGAAATGTTTTTTGAACACTTATGGCGGGGAGTCTGTCCTGTTTTAACACATTTGGCTTATGTTCTAAGAACATGGTGTTTGTTCTTAGAACATTCTTGGGTTCGCAGCACAGTTCGTGGTATGACTATAGGAATGCCGGGACGGTCGGCCCCTGCTCAAAACGCGCGCGATTGGCCGGGGGCGCCGTGCGCGCGCGGCGGCCGCGCCCCCCCTTTCTCTGGCGCACGGTTCCTCCACGCATTGGGAATGAGCAGGGGGCGCCGGGCGCGCGGCGGCCCCGCCCTTCGCGCGCTGCGTTTCTGCCCGCAGTATTGGGCGGGGCCGCTGTGGGCGCGGCGGCGGCGTCACCGCGCGCATGGCGTGTTCCCTTTCAGCAGCAGTGGGCAGCGTCGCCGCGGGCGGCGGCCCCGCCACTGCGCGCGATGTTCCCCCCCCCGCACAGACTGGACCAGCGCTGCCGCGCGCTCGGCGGCCGCCGCCGCGGCGACGCCGCCCCCCGCGCATCGGGCGCATCGGCCTTGCTCCATCGCCACCTGGTTTGTTTGAGCCAGAATTGGCCAAAGCGCCGCGCGAGCGGCCCCCTCTGCCCCCTCGCGCGCGGCGCCGCATCCTACTCGCATGGGCAAGGGCCGCCAGGGCGGCAGCCCAGGCCCCTCGCGCGCGGCGTCGTTGCCTCCGCGATTCGCTCGAGCCGCTCCGCGCGCGGCGATCCTGGCCCGCCGCGCGTTGTTTCCTATCGCGCAGAATTTAACAGAACCGCCGATCGCGCGGCGGCCGCGCCGAACCCCCCCCCAAAAAAAATATATATTCCAGCGCGACCCAACCTAGGAGTTGGAGCCCCTAGGAAAGCAGCATTAGTAGTAGCGGTAAAGCTAAGCTAAAGCTAAGCTAAAGCTAGTGCGAATGCTAAAGCTAAAGCTAAAACTAAAGCTAGGGGGGCGCAACTGGGGGAACCGCTCCCAGGGGGCCGGGGGAACCGCCCGGGGCGGATTCCACCGACCGGCCCTTTAAGCAAAAAGAGCAAGAACCCTTCTAGGCAGAGCCTAGGTAGGGGGGGGGAGGGGGGGGGGAAGAAAACACACACACACACACAAAAAAAAAAAAAACGTTGTTCCCCGCCCGCGGTGGGCCGAGGCTCCCGAACGCGCGCGGCGCCCCGCCCCCTCGCGCATTGGTTCTCTCCAGCGCGCAGCCTGGGCCAGTGCCGCAACGCGCGCGGCGGCCCGCCAGGTCCCTTTCCATGGCGCATGCGGCCTAGGGCCATTGCGGCGGCCAGCGAGCCCGCTTCGCAAGCGCGGGGCAAGTAAGGACGTTTGGGGGGTCTTGGATGCCTCTTGGGAGGCTCTCGGGGGCCTCGTGGGGGCCTCTTGGGAGCCTTTTCGGGGATGGCGCCCACTATCGATATCACGATCGATCGCATTATCGGTCTCACTATCGATATCACTTTCGATCTCACAATCGATTTCGTCATCGGTTTCGTTATCGTTTTCGCACCAGCGGAACACCGGCGGGACACCGCGCGCCACCGCTTGCCAGAGGGAGAATCATTTGGTCTGGCCGGGGCCCAGCCACAAGCGGGACACCGGCGGGACACCGCGCGCCACCGCTTGCCGGAAGGCGAATATTTTTGGGGGGCGTTTCTTTTGGACCCCTTGGGGGGTCTTGGAGGCCTCTTGGGGGGCTTTGGGGGCCTCTTGGGTGCCTCTTGGGAGCCTTTTCGGGGATGGCGCTCACGATCGATCTCACGATTGATCTCACTATCGCTTTCACAATCGATCTCATTATATATCAATCTCACAATGGATTTCGTCATCGGTCTCACTATCGTTTTCGCACCAGCGGGACACCGGGACACCGGCGGGACACCGCGCGCCACCGCTTGCCGGAGGGAGGATCATGTGGTCCAGCCGGGGCCCAGCCACAAGCGGGACACCGGCGGAACACCGCGCGCCACCGTTTGCCAGAGGGAGAATCCTTTTTTCCGGCCGTGCCTCAGCCACAGGAGAGTTTTCGCTCGCCCGCCCACGCAGCTTCGCCTCGCCCGCACGTACGGCACGCACGAACACGAAACCGAAACCGATTTCCCAGTGGGGGGCTCTCCGTTCCACTTCGATGTCTCCCCCAAACTCCCGATATAAATATAATATTATATAAATAATAGCAGAAACGATGATGATAATAGGAATCATAATGAAACTGGTAACAATAATGATCATAATAATAATGATCATAATAAGAATAGGAATTAATAATGATGATAATACTGATAATGATATTATTAATAGTAGTAGTAATAATAATAATAATAGTTATAATAATAATATAATAATAATAATAACAATAATAATAATAATAGTAATAAACTGTGGGCGCGCCCCTAAAATTGTCATCGCCTCGGGGTACGTTCCAGGCTGGTTAACACAGCCTCCGTGCGTTTCGCCCTGGCGGGAAGGGCCGCTGGAGGCCGAGAGTCGCCCCAAAAGGCCTCCCGCCGCGACCTTTCCCCGCGCCCTCCGCGCGGTGCGCCCTGGCGGGAGGGGGCCGCCCCCCGACCAGGGGTCCAACAGGGGGCGACGCCAAGGGGGGGGGGATAGTCGAAGAAGGGGGAAACAGAACGGCATAGACACAAACAGTCGGCGCTTCGCGCGGATGGCCTAGATCCGCATTGGGCCCCCATTCTTCTGCACAGGTTCAGGGGGGGAGGCAGCGACCCCAGATCCCACACTGACTTCCGACAGGGGCTCGATAGCCCACCCCTTCGGTAGCAAATCATGGGAGCCGCGTGCGTCCTCGGAATCCCGTCTTTAGAATGCACCAGCGTGCGTCAGCGCTTGGTACGAAACGAGAAAACGCCGCTTCGGCGTCGATTCAGCTTCGGGTAGCTTCGATTAGCGTCGGCCAGCGTCGATTCGCAAGAGCCAGGAAGATGGCACGGGAGGCCCCGATGAGTTGCCACAGAGCTCGTGGAGGTGCGTTCTGACCCGGGTTCTGGGGCGGACCCAGCCGTGGCCACGGGGGCGCCCCAGAGAGAGCCAGACTTCGCCGAAAGGGAAAGCACGAAGCTCAGCCTCCGAGCCTCAGAGCCCCTCGCCCCCCTCCCCGCGCGCACGCCGCCGCGGCCCCACCCCGCGCACGCTGCTGGGCGCGGGGTGGTCGGCCGGCCCCGCTCCAGGCGGCGGTCAACCTGTTCGTGGCGGCGCGGGAGGCCGTGCGGAGCCCGGCGCCAGCCTCGCCTGGCCAGGCGAGGCTACAGCCAGGGCGCTGGAGTGAGGACCGCCTGGGGCTCGAGAGGGGCTGGGGCGTCTGGGCAGTTCATTGGGAGCTGTGTCGTGGGGCCCGCGTGTGACCCAGGCCCGCCGTGGCCAGAAAAGCCCCATTCGTTCCTCGTGGTGCGTCCCTTCAGGCAGCACGGCGGCTGCATTCGCCAGAGAGGTTCCAGGAGGTGCCATTTCGGTCCGATCCGATCCGATTCGCAAGTCGGGGCTCGAGGTGTTCTGACATTTCCGTCGTTCCCTGCACGTTGTCCTGCGTCGGGGTGCGTTCCAGCAGCTGCGCCTCGCCGAGAGCGTTCGGAGGGTGCCCGGGTCCTCCCGCACGGCGCCCCCGCTCTTCTCATGTTTTCTTGTCGCCTTATTCCTCCTCCTCCTCCTCCTCCTCCTCCTCCTCCTCCTCCTCCTCCTCCTCCAGGTCCCTCCTCGTTGTCCTCCTTCCTTATTCCCAGGCTCTTCCTGCCTCCTCCTCCCCAGGAGGAGGAAGAGGAGAAAGGGGAGGGATGAGGAAACATAGTGTTCCTGAGGACAACGGGTCTTGAAGATTGTTCACCGTTTTCGGGACCCCAGGGCCCTCCCTGGGCCCCGGTTCGGGATGAGGAGCTTCTTGCGGGAAGCCCCTTGGGATCCAGGACCGGTTTTCCTCATACTCCGTTTCTTTCAGATTGAAGGGGGGAGGAGGGGAGTTCAGCGGAGGGGAGGCCCGGCAGTTGGCGTCGGCAGCTTGTTGGTTAAGATATTCCTGCAACTGTTCAGCAGCTACCTCTACACGGCCGCCAGCCAACACCAGATCTACTTCAGGACACCGTCAGGAAAAACGACTCTTTGGAGGCAAGTTCAGGATACGTACACCTTAGGCGATGCTTAAGAAAACTTAATGTTTCGGCCAGACTCTCGATTATTCTTAATGTTTCAATGTAAATCCTAAGATTTGAATGGAAATGTTGTGTTTTTATTCAAGTTCTGAGACTCTGAATTTCTTAACCCATGGTTTCTTAAGCATTTCGCAGGGTGTACTCCTTCCATGGTGCGTAACTCTCCAGGGGAGGCAAATTCCAGGGTTGAGAGGCATTTGGCATCGGCCTCCGAAGACTCTGACGCATGCAACACTCAGGAGGGGAAAAAACACACAGACACAATTAATCGTCCACTCCCAGGAAAATATGGGAAAATATGGGAAGCGGGTGGGAAGACAAAAACCCAGAAAATATGGGAAAATATGGGGAATCTTTTTATTTGTGTGTATTTATTTGTGTGTCCTGGGGCCCCTTCAAACACACGAGGACCACATTGCAAGCTCCTGCTGATCGGGACCGCAGTCAAAATAAGCTTCTGATGGCTCTGGCAAGGATGAGTCGAGCACGGCAGTCGCTGAAGCAGAGTAGAGGTTCGATGAGTATATTGTACGCCTTCCTAGTACAGCGGAAAAGGCGCTCCGCGTTTCTCGGGAGGTGCCTATGAGCACTTGTACCTTGCGAGCCACGACCTTGCATAGGGGTGGAGACATCCCAGAGCTCACCATCCGGATATTCATGATCCGGATCGGGGCTCGCGGGCTTGGGTCAGACACGGGTTTCGTTCAGACAGCATGAGTCTCGACAGCGTTCGAATGAGGGCAACCAAGGGGACAAGTTGAGGCCATCGAGAAAATGTTGGGGTCCACGGCATTCACAGTGATTGTTTATGAGGTGTTCAAGGTTCTCGCGCGCGTATGCTCAGTGAAAGGGAAGCGCATGCAGGCACCAGCTGTAGTCTTACTCTTAAGGTGCGCACTCTGGCGCTTAGTGTAAGCGGATGACTTAGACATGAACAGAAAGTGGGAGGAGAGGGGTCGGGAGGGGAGGAGGCGGAAGAGGAGGAGGAGGAGAGGAGGAGGAGGAGGAGGGAAGCGGAAGATGAGGAGGACGAGGATGTGCAGGAGGATGAGACAGGAGAGGAGGATCATGAGGAGGAGGAGGGGGAGGAGGAGGAGGAGAAGGAGGAGGAGGACGACGAGGAGGAGGAAGAGGAGGAGGAGTTGGGCGACGAGAAGGGCGGGAAGAAAGACGATGGGGGGAAGTCGAATAATAAACGATTGCATGAACAGAAACGTTCGGAGTTCCGCGCTGAGTTTTTGGGGTGGGCGCTGAGACCCCCCTGGCAGCACCTCCAGCGCCGCTCCTGGCACGCTCCGCGCACCAGGGAGGGGTGCACCACGGTGGTCCAACACATCCGCGCGGAGTTCTGAGAACTTACGCTTGCAGTTGTTGTATGCCTCTGGGAAGAGCCCCCTCAGGTCAGCAAGAGCATGCCGAGCATCCAGCTGTCCCAAAAGAAGCCATGGGCGCGCTCCACGCTCCCCTCTGGCCCCGAGCTTCTTTCCGCCAGCGCGTTGCAGCCAGAGGAGGAGGAGGAGGAGGAGGAGGAGGAGGAGGAGGAGGATAATGGGGACGACGAGGAGGAGGAGGGGAAGGAAAGGAGGGAAAGGTTGGGGAGGAGGAGGAGGACGAGAAGGAGGAGAGAGGAGGAGAGGAAGAGAGGAGGAGGAGGACCAGGAGAAGGAGAAGGAGGAGGAGGAGGAGGAGGAGGAGGAGGAGGAGTACGAGGAGGAAGAGGAGGAGGTGGAGGGGGAGGGGGAGGAGGAGGGGAGAGAGAGAGAGAGGAGAGAGAGAGAGAGAGGAGAAAGGAGAGAAGAGAGAGGAGAGAAGAGAGGAGAGAAGAGAGAGGAGAGAGGAGAGAGGAGAGAGGAGAGAGGAGAGAAGAGAGAGTAGAGAGGAGAGAAGAGAGGGACGGATGGAGGAGAGAGGAGAGGAGAGGAGAGGAGAGGAGAGGAGAGGAGAGGAGAGGAGAGGAGAGGAGGGGAAGGAGGAGGAGGAGGAGGAAAGAGGAGGAGGAGGAGAAGGAGGAGCAGGAGGAGGAGGAGGGGCTGAGGAGCAGGAGGAGGAGGAGTTCGGAGCAGGCCGTGCGTGAGTGGCATCTCCCCCCGGTGTGTTGTTGCACTTATAGGGGCACGTTTCGTACAAGATGTGTGTGTGGGTTTTCGCTCACGGGGTCGTGGGTTCGAGAAGGAGTCTTTCGCTGAGAAACCAATTTGGATGGGCAAGACCGCAGCGCAATGTGGCCCAGGCGCAACGGAAGCTCCCAATCGTTTTCGACACGATGGCTTCAGCCCCATATGTTTGCACCCCAGCTCAACAGCATCCTGGATATTTTGCACAGGCTCAGGCAAGCCTGTCTCCGATCGCGCGGTCAGCTGGGCTTTGCCAGACAGTGCGCGTTGGGTTGGCGAGCCCCCCGATTGGTTGATGATCCTTCGCCCAAAATGCGGATGAAGCACAGCAAGGTTGCTGACGGTATGATGTGGTTTTCCATGGGCAAGGTGTTTTCCTGAAACGATGTGTACAGCTCATGGCTGAGACGAAAGGGCACGTCACGATGTTTGTTTTCTACAGTGGCGGCGGGTATAGGCGGGAGCGATGCGAACCATCTTCCATCAGCGTGAGGGTGTTCGGAGAAGGTGGAATAAGCGCATCGTATGAGGCGTAGTTGGCGTAGCGGCGCAACACGCGGTCATCAGTACAGTCTATCGAAAAGTTCACGAGTGAAACACCCACGCAAACGATCGTTTGCAGTCTATCGATCGTTTGCCTGGTTCCCTGGCCCGTGCCCCCCCGCGTCCCCAGCGTCCCAGCGGGAGCCCCGCCCACTGCCCCCTACGCCACGAACGATCTTTTCCGCGTCGCACACGCCCCCCCCCCCCCCCCGCGTCCCCAGCGCCAGAGCGGGACACCCGCGCCGGGGCTCTATGCCCCGAGCCCCCCCCGCGTCCGCAGCGCCCCAGCGGGAGCGCCGCCCACTGACTGCCCCCTCCGCCACGAGCGCTGTCGCGTCGCGACGCACACCACCTCCCGCACCTCCTTCCCCGCGTCCCCAGCGCCCCAGTGGGGGCTCCGCCTCGTGCCCCCTCCGCCCCGACAATTTTATTCCGCGCCGCGACGCACGGCACCTCCCTCCCTCCCTCCCTCCCCCCCCGTCCCCAGCGCCCCAGTTGGACCCCCGCCCCGTGGCCCTCTGCCCCAAGCCCCGCCCAGTGCCCCCTCCGCCCCGACAATTTTATTCCGCGTCGCGACGCACACCGCCTCCACTCCTCATCCTCTCCCCACCTGTGATTTGGGCCCCGTTGCTGGGCCCGAGGTGCGATGCCTTGCCCCCTCTTCCCCCCTCCTCCTCCACCTCCTTCTCCTCCCCATTTTTTTGTGCAAGAGCCATGGCACACGTGCCACTTGATTCTGAAGACCCCCAGGACTACCCCCGAAACACTCCATAATATGATCTGCGCTGGGCCCTCCTGGCGGCGCCTTCGTTGCCGCCCGGCGCGCCAAGGATCGGCGGCGAGCGAGGGGGGAAGTGAGAAGGAGAAGGCCTTCTCAGAAGGCGGCGGGGCTTCTCAGAAGCCCTCCAGCCTTTGAGAAGTTGTTTTGTGTCTTCGGGGACGGTTCGAACGAAATTCTGAAGGCCCGGGAACGTCCAAGCCTTCTTAGAAGGCCCGCCTCACTTCCACTCCCCCCCGTCGCCCGCCGCCGAAAGGAGGGAGGGCCAGCGCAGATCCAAGGCATCCGGGCGGAGCTCCGACAGTTTGTCTACATCGTCCAACAGATTTCTGCTGCGTGTGCGCCGGCACCCCCAGGAGCGACGCACGCGCTCTGAAGCCTTGTAGTACATGCTCGGCGGCGGGCGGGTCCTGGCCGCATCGCTCTGGCATCGATTCATGATCAAAGGCTTGTGCTGCACGTTCAGTTCGGACGTGCGCCTCCGAGGAGGGTGCGGAGCACTGGTGTGTCCTCCTGCGTCCCCGACTGTGCTGTGAACTTGCTTCTTCCTCGAGCTCGCCCCCCCCCCCCCCCGCGCTCGCGGCCGCGCCAGGACGCCCGCGGCACGAGCCAGCGGGCGGCGATCCGCCAGCGGTCGCCGTCCGAGGCGAGGGGCGGGTGGGGCTTGCGGGGTCGGCTTCGATCCGACCGATCCTTGTCGGGTGCCGGTTTCGGCTGGTCCGATCCGATCCGGCTGTGACTCTCCAGCGATCCGACGCGGCCCGATGATTGCACGGCGTTGTTGCGTGTCCTGGCGCAGCCGATCCGATTTGATTTCGCTTCCGTGCCGATGCAGCCTGGTCCGACGCACATTCCGATTCGATCTGGCGTAGCGTAATGGGGGGGGGCTCTAAATGGGGGGGGCAGCGAGGGTTGCAGAAAAGGGCCCTTGAGGGTTCCTAAAGGGGCGCTTTGGGGGTCCGAAAGGAAGCCTTTCGGGTCCGAAAAGTGTACCTTTTCTTCCCCCGTCATGTATCGCCTCCCCATTGAGCGACACTCAAGCTCTTGGGTGCAGGACTTGTCTGCCTCAGACCCCGTGTCCGTCATGCCCACATGTGCTCGTCCGCGGGGGGGATGCTTGCCGCTCTGTCTGCTCATCTCCTCTCCTCGTTCTGCTCCCGACCTCCCGCCAGTGCGTTCGTTGTCGTTTGTCGTTTGTTTGACTGCCCTCCGTCTTTCATAGGCGCCGCCCTGAGTTTGTGTTCAGCGGCGCACGTCGTATGAGTGAATGCGGTTGTTCAGGCGTGGGTGGTAAGGCTCTTTCGTCACCCTCTCCCTCCTCGAGCTAGTTTTCTTGATACCCTGGCCTGGTACGTCCGTGATCGGGATGCCAGCCCTCCTCCCAGAAGCCGTACCGCATGCCTTCTGTGTGCCTTGGTTTTGCGTACTTGGGAGTTCAGTGCTGTTGGCCCTGAGTCTCGATGCACACGTAGGCGCTCCAGCCCTCACAGGCCCCGTGGCGTTCCTAGGCGCACGCGCGTTGCGGAGCTGGCCGAAGCTGTGGCGCTCACGGACGGCGCGGCGCTCGCTTGCGCGGTGGTGCGTACAGAAAGTATGACCTCCATCGGTTCCGAAGTCCCCGCGGGCAGGGTCATGCTCACAGTGGTGCTCTCCGCCACCGTGTCCCCCCATCCGCATTTGTGGTAAATGGCATTGTGGTGTTCACAACCCCCTGTGGTACCTACACGCTCTTGGTGTTCACATGCAGTGTGTTCTTCCGCGCCCAACCGTAGCGGTGACGTACGTGCGCGTGCGTGTATGGAGAAGAATGAATGTGTCTGCATTTGCGTGAGAAAGTGAATGTGCGCGTGTGTATGTGAACGTGTGTGAATGTGCGTACGTGTATGAATGTGTGAACGTGTGTGAATGTGTGTATGTGTGTGTGAATGTGTGTGTGCGCTCTGTGTGCTATGTGTGTGCTTGTGTGCATCCGCCCTCTTTCACCCTTCACGCGCCTATCCTTAACTGTTCGGCGGTCTGCCACGTTCGATTTTCGAGCTGGGACTCCCAGCTTTGCGCACGCTTCCGCACCAGGTGCTCAATACGCGTGCAGCGCCGATCTATCGGCGATGTATCGCCGATCCAGGCTCGGTGTTCTCCCCCCCCTTGAGCCTGTCCCCCCCCCTAACGGTTCCCCTCGGAACGGCCGAGGCGGACGGCGCAGCAACGGCAGCGGCGTTCAGGTCCACCTCAGCGGACCGTGCTGGTCGACTACACGTAAGAGTGACCCTTCGCCGGAGTAACCGTTGGTGCGGGCCCACTGGGCCCCCCCAATCGCCGAACGCGATGCGGCAGTAGTGTCTTTCGCGCCCGTGTTTGGTCTCCCCGCGGCCCCCAAAGGGCCGCGCACCAAAGGTCGCTCTTACCCAGGGTGGCTATTGCGTGTAGCCCAGCTGGGGCGGACTCGGCCGCGTCCGTGCCGAAGCCGAGAGGTCGACATCGCCAGGGGCGGCCGGCCGCGAGCTCTCGGCGAGAGCGGCACCGGCTGCCCGGGGGCGAGGCTGTTGCGGGGGCGGCCTGGCACCGCCGGGGCCCGAAGCGGAGCGGCGGGAGAGGATGGTCAAGGAGCAGAATCGAGCAGTGGCGAAGCGTCTTGGCCTGCCGATGGGCCCACCAGAAGATGTTCGAAGAACCTCTTGTGGTCTGCACGACATGTTCTTAGAACGTTTCTGGCTGAGACCGTCTTGGCTTAAGGCATCGGGTGTATGTTCCTTGTGTTATTAAAGCATGTACGTTGCTTTCCATATTTTTCCGTTCTGGGAACAGTCGTGGTAGGACTAGAGGAATGCCAGGACGGTCGGTCATTGCTCCAAATTCGGAGGTCCGCGCGAACCTCCGAAAGCTTGTTTCTGCAGCTCTTCCTCTCTCGAGAAGAGGGGTGTGCAGGGAGCGGGAGGGGGTGAGCGACAGGCGTGGCGATGGGCGCGCCTGAGCGGCGAGAGGTTAACATGCTCGGTGAGCTTAGCGAGGACGACGACCACCCGATGCCCCACAAGCCCGGGAGGCCATGCCCCGAGCCAACTAGATGAGGAGGAGATCGACGACGACGGGAGCAAAGGAGGGGGGGGGAGGCATGTCGGGAGGAGGCGGGAGGATAATCGGTGGCGAGCCCAGGGGGTAAGTGAGAGAGGGCACTCCTTCCCTGAAGGCGGCGGGGTTTCTCAGAAGACCTCTGGCCTTCTGAGAAGCCGTCTGTGGCGTCGGAGAAGGTTGAGAAGACTTCTCAGAAGACCCGAGGGCTTCTGAGAAGCCCCGCCGCCTTTGGTGCTCGCAGCCATGATGACCGATGAGGACAAGCATGAGGAAGACGATCGGTGCTCTCTCGTTGCCTATTCTTGTCTACCTGGAGGCTCGCCCTGTCTCGTCAAGTGCGCGTCCCTGCACCAGACGTCTCTTCCAATGACGAGAGCGCTGGGGCATGAGTGCAAAGGGGTGGGGCCCATGGAGGAGGAGGAGGAGGAGGAGGAGCAGACGGAGGAGAAGACGCAGGAGGAGGAGGAGAAGGAGGAGGAGGAGGAGGAGGAGGAGGAGGAGGAGGAGACGGCGGAGGAGAGGAGAGAAGAGTGCGAAGGCGGGAAAGGAGGAGGAGGAGGAGGAGGAGGAGGAGGGGAGGAGGAAGGAGAGGAGGAGGAGGAGGAGGAGGAGGAGGAGGAGACGGAGGAGGAATAGGAGGAGGAGCGTTTGACCGCCCAAGCGTAGGTCATCGCCATCGCCATGCCTACCACGCCGCCGCTCCCCATACCATACGGGTGACCTGCGACGGTCAACGTTCTGCCGACCATGCGCCGCCTCGACGAAGGGATATGCTCTCAAACAACTGGAGATAAACACAGAAGTTTGCGGTACCGTCGTCAACAGCATTTACAGTCTTACAAATGTATGTTGGCAGTGCGACCACCATCATTTTTCAAGTTAACAATACAGTCACCAACAGATGTTCGAAGTGGCTTTAAGCCAGCAGCGTTATGACCAGCAGGACAATCAGTTCATCATCGGCATAATCCTCAACCGAGTAAGTTGCAGTCCAATTTGAAGATTGGCATGGAACGGAAGACAAACACATGTCCAAGAAGGAAAGGGGCACGTATCGTGAGACGCACGTTCTTCGTGCTCATAATCAAGGGAGGTCACTGACCAAAAGTGTGTGTTCCATGGGCAGAATTGGACTCAAGAGAGCAGCCTGTTTGTTGGAAAGCAGAAGTACTTGGTCTCTCTCTTGCTTCTTCCCAAACATCGGTTGGTCCTATCTGATATTGCCCCGAGCATCGGTCTCCTCGCACCCACTCCATCATATTCTCTTCGGCTTGAGCTGTGCCTGGAGGTTGATGCAACGCACGCATCAGTCAACCTTTCAGCAGAGTGCAAAGATCCAGCATGCTTGGGCATATTGGTTCCCAGACCATATGAGACGATTGAATTGACATGTGCCCTTCAATCTGAGTGTGACACACTGTTGCCCGTGCCGGCCGACACATACACATGGATGCTTGAATGTTTGGTGAGCCGTCTCGGCCAACGGACATTATTAAACACGCCAGCTCACTAGACCAGAGGAGGAGGTTCCAGGGAAGGTGGAGGCCCCGAGACGTTGTCTTAGACATTTTCGGAAACCCACACAGCAGGCGTTACTTGCCAAGGAAGAGAATTTTGGGGCCCCGAGGCGCTGTCCACGACATCTTCGAAAACCCACAAGCAGGCTGAATCTCAAAGTTGGGTTGCACAAGAGCCGGGGGATGACGCTGAGGTCATACCACGATTTGCTCGACGCACGCGGCAAGCTGTGCTTAAAGTAGACAACGGCCTTCGCATGTTGCATAAGTGGCACCACCAAGCCATTGGCATGATCCAAGAAACCAGGGATGAAACTAGGGGATGTCTTTCGAACTCACTGCGAAGCGAAGGTCGACACGCAGAAGATCATTGTTGCGAATGTCTCACGGTTGGTAACGGAATTCGTTCAGACAGTGTACATATTGAGACAAACATTGTACAATCGGCGTTTCAAAGATGGCGCGAGAGATAAGTCGATTGTTGGTTGCATCACTCTAGTGTCACGGCACAGGCAGATTCATCCATATCGCCATCACCACTATCACCAGCGTAATTTTTATGCTTGCACATCCCCCCTTCATCGGCATCAGCAAGCACAGCCCCAAATGGAGCCAATGTCCGCGCGCGGGCTCTCTGCGTCGGAGGAGGTAGACGGGGGCGCGGTTGCGGGGATGGTGACGTGGGCCAGCGGTCCATGACCCCAGTCTCCATTGCATGCTGGTCAGTAGGCTTGGTTCGTTCTTCTCAGCGCAGCGGATGGGCGCTCCTGCATGGGCAGATTCGGTCTGCCCTAGAGGCATCAGCAGAAGGCCGCGAGAGGCCCTTCTCAAGTTGGAGGCGGAGGAGCGCTGGAGGGCGGTGGACGAGAATGACGAGATCGAGCAGTCATGGAATGCGATCGGCTGCAAAAAGTTCTCCGCGGTGATAGTTCCCTTAGTTCGGCAAATTGGTAGCCTTTACCTTAGGCCCACCGACGCCGCCAGCGCGTCGCGCGGAGGAGGGCGCGCGGGATGCGCGAACCAGAATCTGTCGATCGCCATGTCTTGTTTCGAAGAGTGGCGCAGCTCCGACGGTGCGCCCCGCCTGCCGCGCGAGCTCCACGGGGAACCGTTTTGCCGCACTGAAGCAGTTGCGCTCCAGATGTTGAGCCAGCATCATGGCTCCTGAAGGCATGTCTAATCGACGACCCTCGTCGAGGGCCCCGGGGAGAGATGGGGGGGGGAGCTGGGGCGGGGCTAGAAATGCCAGGAGGCCGAGCGCTCCCGGAGCGGCAGCCCTGGGCGAGGGCCACCCCCGAGGCTCTGAGCTTGGAGCATCTTGCAGCGCGCGCAGCACTGATCCTCGACGGAGGCCTTGATGGGGAGGAGAGCTCACCGCCCACCAAACCACCCCAACCCAACCCGAAGGCCCCAATTTGCCCTCCATTTCCAGTGGGGGGGGGTCGGGGAAAGTTGAGAAAACACACATGAAGCTCGTACCCCCCCCCCAACCCGAAATTCGGGTCTTCGGGTTGGGTTGGGGTGGTTTGGTAGGTAGTCAAGAGCTTTGACGGAGTGGATGAGCTGGTCGCGGGCGGGGGGTGGGCAACCTTGCCTGTGCCTATTCCGTCAGGGCATCCTGTCTAAACTCCGCTGCGGGGATATTTCCCTTTGTTGAAAATCCCTTTCGTTTCTCTTTTCGCCGTCCGGCACATTGCCGCGCTAGCTTCGGGAGCGCGAGTTGGTTGTAGTCCGCGAAGGGCCGCGCTCTCAGGGGCGCGAATTTGGCGCGAACCCGCGCGAATCTGCAGCGAGTCCCATGGAATCGCGGCGGCCCTTTACCACTGCAATTTTGAAAATACAGCATATCAGGGGCCGATGTTCCGCCTGCCCCAGGTCGGCCGCGCATTCTTGCCCGCCGCGCGCCTGTGCTCAAGCGCCGAGAGGGGCGAGGGCCAGCGGTGGAGCGGTCCCGCCCCCGACCTGGGCAGATGAGCGCGCTCCAGAGCTGGCGCTGCTGAGGCGCCCGCAGCGCCCATCGCACACCTCAGCCCCGCTGCCGATGCGTCGAGATGGGCCGACTTTCTGCTGGCCTCTTCCGGGCGCTGGCCCAGTGCTGCGAGCAGTCTTCATCTTGTCGACTCTTGCTGCATACCCCCGCGGTCGCCGAAGCGTCACCGGCGAGCGGCGCGCGCCCGCGCGCTTGCACTGTGTGTGATGACTGGCGTGTCTCCGCGAGAGTGCCGTTTCAGCACATGCGCATACAGCACGTCCGCAAGTGCCTGCAGCGATTTGGGGCACCAGCTGGTGCCACGTGCCTCGCTTGCGGCACCGTTTTTGGGAGCCGTTCTCGTCTCCTGTCACATCGGCACAATTCGCGCCAGCTCAAGTGCTGGAACGAAATTCAGTCAAACCGAAAGCGTTTCCCGCCACATCTTGATGCTATCGTCGAGCAGCTCGATCTGAAGGATCGGGAGCTCCGTCGTGAGGCCGAGCGCGCGGGGCATCCCCATGCTCTGGCGAAGGGTCCAACTCGCCGAGGTGACGGCTCCACCGTCGGCCCTTGGATCGCTCTTCTTGCATCTCATGACTGTAGACGTTGCGCGCAACGCTCGATGAAACATGAGTAATGCACATGTACCTAAACATATACATATATTACATATATAGATGCAAGATTTGAAGGCTCGCTTCGCTTCGCGTCAATTTTGGTCCACATGGTGGAGCGGGTCTCTGAAAGGCGGGCGACTTGGGGAGAAGGAGAGAGCGAGAGACAGCGTGAGAGAGAGGGAGGATGATTTCCGAAAGAAAAAGAGAGACAGAGAATTGTTGTGGTTTGTTGCCCAGCGCACGAGATGAGGGCGATCGAAGGCGGGGGGATTGGATGTTATCGTAGCAGCTAGCACGTCAGCGACGCCGCAGATAACTCTAGCATGTGCAAGATGCGCACGCGCGCGCGAACGAATGCGCGTGTTGGTTGGTGCACGAGGGGTCGGACGTGCCTGGGGGATGTTCGACGCCGCGCCTGCTGGCGCGTCGTGGCGATCCGTGGCGAGGTCCGTTTTACTTGCATGCGGACGCTGGCCAGGATAATATTTCGCCTTCAACATGGGCCCAGCATAGCCCTGGAAGAGCTCCAAAGGGGCCTCAAGATTGCCCAAGACAGCCCCAGACGGGCCCAAGGCGGGCCCACGGGCGCCCCGAGAGGCTAAAATCTTTCCAACAAAAAAGAAGATCCATGTTTTTGGCCGTATTGCCTTTTCGCTTTTGGCGGCCTTGCGAAACCTCAACAAGGCCGTCCCCCCAAAGAGCTCCAAATGGGCCCCAGTTCGGCCCGAAAGCCCTAGGACACAGCCAAGAGAAGCCCAACACGGGCCCAAGAGCGCTCCGAGAGAGCAAAATTCGTTGAAAAAACAATGGAAATCAATGCTTTTGGCCGCCTCGCCTTTTCGCTCCCGATGGCCTTGCAAGGCCTCAGGAAGGCCCCAAGGTAGCCCCCAAAGAGCTCCAAGGGGGCTCCCGAGATGGCTCAAGAGAGCCCCAAGACGGGCCGAAGAGGGGCCCAAGACCGGCCCGTGAGCGCCCCGATAGGCAGAAATCCTTCAAAACCAATGGAAAAACAAATCAATGTTTTGGGCTGTCTTGCCTTTTCACACATGGTCGCCGGGCGAAGCTCCATAATGGGCCCGAGATAGCCCCGAAAGCGCTCCAAAGGGGCCCCCAAGATGGCTCAAGAGAGCCCCAAGATTGGCCCAAAACAGGCCCAAGAGCGCCCCGAGATGCCAAAATCCTTCAAAACCAATGGGAAATCAATGTTTTTGGCCGCCTCGCCTTTTCGCTCCCGGTGGCCTTGCAAGGCCTCAGGAAGGCCCCAAGATAACCCCGAAAGAGCTCCAATAGGGCTCCCAAGATGGCCCAAGAAAGCGTCAAGACGGGCCCAAAAGGGGCCCAAGACGGGCCCAAGAGCGCCCCGAGATGCGAAATTCCTTGAACAACCAATGGTAAATCAATGTTTCTGGCAGTCTCACCTTTTTGCTTCTGGTGGCCTTGTGGAGCTTCAGGATGGCCACAGGATAGTCCAAGAATGTCCAAAGGCGGACCCAAGAGAAGCCCAAGACGGGCTCAAGCCGCCGACATGTCCTCAGCATGGACGGAGTCCCGGGCGCGCCGGGCGCGGAAAAATGACCCCCCCCCATCTTAGGCGGGGGTCCCTTATAATTTGTATTGGATGAGGAAGATATAGATGTATATATATATATAGAGAGAAAGAGAGAGAGAGAGAGAGAGAGAGTTGCAATGAGCGGGGACCTGCGCCTCGCAGCTTGTAGGCCCAGAAAGAGCTGGCGGATTGCCGATCGCCTCCCCCTTCCTTCCTTCAATGCCCCTTGGTCTTCCAATCGACCGTTCCCGCCTCCCTCCTCTCCCCATCCTGTGCCTCTGGTTTCACGCTCCCGCCCCCTCCCCTGCCCTCTCCCTCCAGCTCATCCTCTTATTAACTATGCATCTGTCCTCCTTTGCCTAATCCTCCTGCTCCTTGTGTCTCTTCTTGTTTTTTCCTCATCACATTCCCCCTCTATATCCCTCCTCCATCCTTCATCCCCACATGTCCCTGCAAAGGGCCTCAGAGACTCGGAGAGGAGGAAGGTGAAGAGGCTCTCGCGGACTGCGATTGTTTTCTCTGACGGTGTCATTCGATGTTTGCCACATGTCCACCTCCACCCGCCCAGGAGAGCCACTGTGCTGCTCGTTTTCCTGACCATGATCGTAGGCGCGCGCGGGGGTCTTCGAGAAAGCAGTACTGAGCAGGGGCAGACACGTCAGGATGCCCGGGTGGAGCTGTAGGTTCGAGGAGCACCACAATCTCGAAACAGTTCCCAATTCTGCCGAGAGAGTCGCCCTACTTGCCAAGCAGCGGGGGGCGCGTGCGGGTGGTGTTGCCTACCCCCCTTGCCTGCCCCCTCCCCCGTTTTCCGGTTCCTCCCTTCTCGTCCCCCTCTTGACCTTTTCAGCATTTCACCCTTTGTCCTGATCCTCAAGCTCTTGCTGATGCTCCTCATTCTCGCCCGTCTCCGCGCTTCCTCCTCGTTATCCTCGTCATCGTGCTGATCCGGCTTCTCCTGTTGTTCGCATCGTCCCCATCATCTTCGTCCTCTTCGGTGTTGTCCTCATTGTGTTGCCCTCCAGGGTGCGGTTCTATAGCCTCAGCGGGCCCTCGTGCCGCTCCTGGTGCGAAAAGGAAACGCCTTCAGAGCCAGCCCAAATGCACAATATGGTTGATGAGTCCTAGGTTTGCGCTGGTCGTCCTCCTCTTCCTCCTCCTCCTCCTCCTCTTCCTCCTGTCCCTCCTCTTACACCTGCCTGCCTGTCCAGCCCGACGCTTTTGAAACGTGGCTGCTTCCCATCATTGATGTCGACCGCGTGGCTGAAGATTTTGACATTGCTGAGCTAGCAGGCCCGGCGAAGGAGCGGGCGCTGCTCGGGTCGCGCGGCGCGTGGGTGGCCGTGCGCTCTCTGCCACAGCGTCGCCACTGTCAACAGAGAGGCCGAGTTCGGCACGACGCCGTGTCGAGCGGCGCCCGAGGACCCGTCGAGCAGGGGGGGATCACGGCCACCTCCACGATCTCCCTCGCGGAAGCTCTGGCCGTGCGCCCCTGCGAAGTGAAAACCCCGCAGAGGAGGGCTCAGGGGCAACATTTGAGGGGAGAGGCTCCGGGGGGGGCCCAGCAGCGACCGCCAATCGCCCGCTCATCGTCGATAGGGGCTCGAGGCTCGATATGTAGCCCGCCCCGCCCAGGATCGTGCGGTTTCGGTGTCGGGGGCCTATCGCCGATTTGTCCGCGATGAATCGCCGATGCAAGGCCGGTGTTTCCCCCCGTGAGCCGGTCCCCCACCTCATTCGTTCCCTGCTCGGGAGGGGGGAGGCGAGCGGTTGAGGACTGAGGGGCAGGAGGGGGGGCAGGGAGGAGCGGCTGTTCAACGAGGGCGCGGGAGTTGCTGGAAACTCTGGGAGGCGCTCTGTGCTCCCAAGATGTTTCCCGTATCCCCGTAAGTTTGGAAATTTCGCAGCAGCCCGAAACCAGGAGGAGGGGAAGCAGGCAGGGAGTAGGAGGGATGGCTCGATGGAGCGTCCGCCCCACGAGCGACGGTGCCCGCCGTGCCCCACGGGGGAGGTAAGAGGAAGGACAAGCTAGGGGCGCGCTCGCCCCATGTCTGGCATCCTACCCCTCCCACTTTTCTCTCTATCTACCGGCTGGTGTCGCAGCGGACGGGGGACCTTCGGGAAAACCACGTCACGTCAAGAAAAAACGCAGCGCGCACAGGGGCATGGCGCGAGGGGGGCGGCCTTCTTGGGAGTCCGGGAGGATTCTGAGAATGCGGTGGGGGGTTCTCGGATGCCCTCCAGGCATGCAAGAAGTTCTCTTGAGAAGGCCATTTCCTTCTAACCGCCCCCCCGCCTTCTTAGAGTGCCACCCCCTTGTGCGCGCCGCCAACGACGGAGGAGGAGGAGGAGGAGGAGGCGGAGGAGGAGGAGGCGGCGGAGGAGGCGGAGGAGGAGGAGGAGGGAGAGGAGGCGGAGGAGGGCCCCAGCCCATCTGGTTCAGCGACACCTTGAAGAAGCGAGTCTCCCCTCCGCTCGTGCGCCTTCTCCTCCTTCCTTGTGCTCCTCTTCCTCGGCTGGGGGCAGGCACCATGTGCGAGGACGTCGGGATCGTGAATGCGCTCGCGGGCTCCATGATGGGCGTCATGATCTGCCTGGCGGGGAAGGGAGAGTGGTTGGGGGAAGGCAGGGATGTATCCACAACCACCGCCTGAAGGATCGACCCTCGCGTCCTCGGCACGCGGTAGATGTGAATATATTCGGGGACTTTGGGGACAAGACATACCCATGTCCACCGCCCGCTGGGGCCCCAGGATGTCGGTTCCCCAGGCGGTGGATATTGACAAATCCCCGCCTCGCGCAGTGGAAGACGGGAGAGTTGAACGGGTGATTCGTTTGTCTTTGCACTTTTCACTCGCGGAGGTTGCCGCGAAATGGTGGGCGTCTCCTACTTTGCTTGTCTTGACTTGCCAGAGGCTAAGGGAGAGAGGGAGGAAGGAAGGAAGGAAGGAAGGGCGTACAGATGGGCGAACGGAACGGGAGGAACGAAGAGAGGGACCAGAATTGAAGGGAGGCAGGAAGGGAAAGGGAGGAGAGGGAGGATGAGAAGGAGGAGGACGACGGGGAGGACGAGGACGAGGACGAGCAGGAGGGGGAGGAGGGGATACGAGGAGGGAGGAGGAGAGGGGAGGGGATGGAGGGAGGGACCAGGAGGGATGAATGAGGAACAGGAGGAGGAACAGAGGGTAAGCCATCAGCGCGCTTCGGGATACTCTGAGAGTCGCTCTGCGCAGCCACTCGATCCCCGCGGCTCGCTGGCGCTCGGGTAAGAGAGGGGGGACGCAGGGGCCTTCCCTCCCCTCCCTCCCTCCCCCCCTCCTCCCCTCCCTCCCTCCTCCCCTCCTCCCCTCCCTCCTCCCCATCCCCCTCTCTCCTCTCCCATCTCTCCTCCCCTCCCTCCCCTCCCTTCCTCTCCTCCCTCCCTCCTCCCCCTCTCTCCACCTCTCTCCTCCCCTCCCCTCCCTCCTCCCCTCCCCCTCTCTCCCCCCCCCTCCTCCCCATCCCCCCCTCCTCCCCTTGAATGCCCCCCCCCCCCTCCTCCCTGTGGCGGCTCGGCGCCTTGCGCGGCGGGTGATCCGGCCCCCGGGGCCGTTGTCGCCCCCCCCCGCAGGGCCGCGCGGCCTGTAGCGGGCCGTGAATGGGCGAGGCGAGCCCGCGTGCCTCGGGGGAAGCTTCGGCTTGCGCGCTGCGGCCATAGCGCCCTTGCTCCGCGCGACCTGTCGAGGAGCCGCAGGCACGATGGCTTAGGATGAGCATGCGTCTCCTCATCGACCCCCTTCTTGTGGATGCGTGTCGGGCGGGATTTGTGGCCAGTTGGGGCTTGCTGGAATATGCACTGGGTTTAGGGAACATTGCTTTTGCATGTTTGATGGGTGCATTGTCGCTTGGTTTGCAGTTTGGGTGGGCTTCGTGCATGGACAAGAGTAGCGGCCGAGCGCCCATGCCAAACGGTGGCGCTCTAAGAACTCGTCCTCGAAGGCCTTCACGTCGGAGGTCTTGACGACGGGTTTGGCCAGCTTCGCTTTGAACGGCGAACTTGCCGTTCTTCGGAGGATGTGGATCAGCGGCGGGTGCCGCTTCTGCAAGGCATCGGCGCGTTCCGTCGCAAGGTCGGGCGGCCTTGGCCTCGCGCTTCGGGTGCTGTTTCCCCTTCCGTGGAGCTGGCGCCCACGCGCCAGAGCCACAGATCTGTGATCCACGTGAGCTTGGCATCACTCGGACGTGTGCCTTTTTCCTTCGGCGAGGGCCCTCGAAGAGCATCCTTGATCACTCGGCGAGAAAACCACGCACGAAACCGAGAAAAGCACGGGGAATGGACGTCAAAGCGATAGCCAGTGAGAGCGTGCGCCCGAGACTGGGGCATCCGAGACCACGCTGGTCTCAGGTCGGGCTGGGTCTCATGCGGCCTTTCTCCTCCCAGTTGAGAATCGTTCAACCGATCCCTATCCCCACGGGCGTGGCCTGCGCCCCACTGGCCGATTTACCCCCCCAGACAGGGGAGATAGGTCGTTCCCCTCGAGCTTCGAGGGGCAAAACCCCAACTGGGGCGGTAGAATGGTGGGGATAGGGATGGGGATGGGGATGGGGTTAGGGATCGGTCAAACGATACTGACGTCTGGGAGCGGCGCACCAGCCAGCAGGCAGCGGCCGCTCCGCAGCAGGAGCGCGCGCTGCGCGAGCGGTGCCGGGCTGCTCACTCGCGGGCGCGCGTGCCGGCGGGGGGAGGCTCCCCGAGGAAGTGAGGGATCGGCGAAACGATATGGATCATCGGTCTCAGTGGCCGGATCGTTCGCATGTCTCCGTTGGATCGGAGGTGGACAGAACCCCCAACAGTGACACGTCGATTAGTGAATTGTCCGTTTTCGGTTCTCGAGAGGGCGCCGTAGCCGTTATTTTCCAGGCTTGCGCCCGCCAGGTTTGGGCCTCAGGTTGTTTTCACTAAACCACGTTTTACTAAAGGGGGGTCTGTCCATCCCCGATTGGACATCCGCACCGCTCATGCTGGTTTCCACCTGGCCGCCGGGTGCGCCCGGAAAGTGTCGCGGGCCAGGCGCCGTTCAAGGCACGGCAGCGGGAGGGCGAGCAGTCTTCGGTATCGTTGAACCGATCCTCATCCCCATCCCGAGCCCCATCCTCTCACCTCCCAGTTGGGGATGTACCCCTCGAAGCCCGAAGGGAACGGCCTCATCCCCCTCGGGAGGGAGAGCATTCCATTTGGAGCCGTCTGGGGGTCTCAAGTGGCCCGGCTTTGATTCCGGCCAGCAAGAAGGGCGGGCAGTTTCGAGGTTCTGGATTCGGGGAGGTGTTTTGCCTTTTTCGGCCTCTGAGGGCCGTTTTCGGGCCCCGAGACCTTCCAAAGCGGATCTGGTGTGAAAAATTAAAACTGATGGACCCCGGGAGAGGTCTGGGGATCGATGTTGAGCGGATTGGGCCTCGTTCCCCCTCCTGACCGATCTTCTGGGGCCCCAACCAGTTCAGACCCCCCAGCCGCCTCCAACAATCCATGAGAGCCACCACATGGATGTGCATTGCGCTGCGGGTCGGTGGGCAGACGCGCGCGGAGATATAATACGAAGGCCTTACGGCCGGTGCCGCCGACCCGGAATGGCGACGACGACGACGAGCGCTCTCAGGGGCCTCTTGGGGGTAGTTTGGGGGCCTCTTGGGAAGCTCTTGGGGGCCGTTTGGAAGCCTCGTGGGGGCCTCTTGGGGCTTCCTGGGGGTCTCTTGGGAGCTTGTTGGGGCTTCTTGGGGGGCTTCTTAGGGACCTCTGGGGGCCTCCTGAGAGCTTCTCAGGCCGAGGGCTCGAAATGTTCGTTCGGGTTCCCCATCTGGGCTCCTCTTTGGAGCCGTCTTGGGGGCCTCTTCGGCTGTCTTGGAGCCCTCTTGGTCGGTCTTGGGGCCCTTTTGGGTCGTTTTGGGGCGCTCTTGCAGGCCTCTTGGGCCATCTTGGGGCGGTCTTGGGGGTTTCTTGGCCTGTTTTGGAGCGTCGGGAAGCTGACAAGGCGAGAATGCCGAAATCTTTTTAGAAAAAATCTGGAAATCGATGATTTGTGCCCCTCTTGGGACCCTCTTGGAAGTCCTCTTGGAGGCCTCTTGGGGCGTTTTGGGAACTTTTGAGCCGTCTGGAGGCTACTTTGACGACTTGGACCGATACTTCGGCGATTCGGGGCCCTCGAGGACCGTCTTGGGGGCATCTTGGCGTTTTCCGCGTCCTGCGGCTTCTCTTGGCCGCCCAACCGCCCGAGGGGGAGTCGTATTTGCCCGAGGACCCCCTTGGGACCCCTCCCCCGGGACCCCTCCCCTGGACCTCACCCCCGTGACCCCCCCTCCCGCGGCGGGGAAGGGATCAAAGGGAAGGGGCTTGCCTTCGACTCAACTACAACGTTGATCAATTTCGCTGTGGCTGGCGCGCTCGAGGAGGAGAACCCGGTTAGAGTGGGGGGAATTGCGACGGGCCTAGGGAAAATTGGGGAAGCGAGCGGCGAAGGCGACGACAACGACCACGACGACAACGACGACGACGACGACGACGAGTCAAACGGAACAGCTTCTTCGATACGCCGACAGGGTCGGCGGATTCCACGCACGTTCCTCCCCCCGCGATGGAGCCCGTCCACAACGAGGAATGCGATCACATCCAGTGGACAGGGCGCCCCGTTTAGGAAACACCTTCTGGTACCTGCGTCAGGTCCGTTTCGTGTCGACGCAGCGGCGACCCTGGCGTGGGTTGAACGCCGCCAGTGACGCAGAATCGACCGACATCGAACGATCCTGCGCGATCGGAGAGGTGCGATCGTTCAAGGTTGCACACTACACGCGGTGTGAGAAACTATCGCACACGGCACCAGACGCGCCACTCGAAGTAACGGTCTTCTCAGGCAAGTGGCCGCGACTTCCGAGGCGGGTCGGCACGGTGCCACGAGATGTTGGTGCCTATGCGTTCGCGCGGGTAAGTTGCCAGTTCGATTGGTGAGATGTAATTGCGCACACCTTTCGGTCTCATACAGTTGGTCTCGCGGCGGTCGCCACCCCCCATCACCACCCCAACACAACCCGAAAGCCCCAATTTTGCCATCCATTCCCAGTGGGAGGGGCGTCGCGGAACATGGAAAAACACATGTGGGTCCCCTACCCCCCCCCCCCCAATTTGGAATTGTGGGTCTTCGGTTTGGGTTAGGGTGGTTTGGTAGGTAGTCAGTACAGCTTGCCGACATGCCTATTTCTCTTTGACGATTCACTTCTGTTCCGCAACCCGGCCCTCCTGGAGGCCGGCGCGTCAGGTGCGCTTGGTGCCCTTGTATGGTCGCCTCGTGCGACGGCAGACTCGTTCTTTTGTGCCCTTCTCAGGGCTCATCCATATTCCTCCGATTCGATTCGATTCGATTCGACGTCGGTTGCTTCCAATTCCGATCCGATCCGACCTCGGTTTCCGATTTGGATTCCGATTTCTCCATGGAGGCCTCACTTGCCTCCCGAGTTCCGCCGATTCGGATTCTCCTGACTCGGCTGCCGATTTTTGCCGATCCGATTCATGTCGATCGCCGATCTCACTTATCGATTCGATTCTGGGCTCTCCTGCCTTTCTACCTCCCTCCCTCCCCGACGGAGTAAGTGCATAGTGTGTGTGTGCGTGTGCGAGAGAGTGCGCGATAGCAGAGCGGAGGGCGCAGCGAAGCAGCTAGCCTCGGCGCTGTGATGTTGCAAAGTCGGGGCTCTGCCTCCTCCCTCCTGCCGATCCCTCCCTCCTGCCCTCAGGGGCAACCACGGGGGGGGGATCGGCTGCGGGGGGAACGCATCGGCCCCCAATCCCCCATTTTTCCCCAATAGGGGTTTGATAGCCCACCCCGCCCAGGAACGTGCGGTTTCGCTATCGGGGGCCCATCGCCGATCTATCGGCGATGTATCGCCGATTACATGTCCATTGTTTCCACGCCCGGGTTGGTCCCCCCTTGCCGATGATCCTCAGGACGTGTGTTAGCCCAAGCGTGTGCTTACTCCGCCGTTCGGCTCCGCCGACAGCACGCAGTCTGTGTCGGCCCTCGCTGGGCCGCCTGCGTCGTACTGAAGGGCCCCGGTGAACACGCACGCGTGGGCGCCAACACTTCTTTGCAGGAGGAGGAGGAGGAGGAGGAGGAGGAGGCGGAGACGGAGGAGGAGGAGGAGGCGGAGGAGGAGGAGGAGGAGGCGGAGGAGGAGGAGGAGGAGGAGGAGGAGGAGGAGTCAGCGGGCGCAAGCGAGCCGAAGCGGGTGCAGGCGCCGGTCGGGCAAAGGGCGGGACGCGCCGGGATGGAATTGGGGCACGGAGGGGCGCGGGGAGAGGGGCGGCGGGGAGGGGCCAAGAGCCGCTCAGAGCGTGAAGCACTTCGCGGGAAGCGTGGGCGCCACCTTCTGATCTGAGGCTCCTCGGCCCTGCCCCCCCGCCGCAGTGCCGCCGCAGGGGGTTCTCGAGCGGGGGGCTGCCGCCCGCGCGCGCGCCCGCAGCCGGGGAGGTGCTGCCCGGCCTCCTCTTCCTGAGCACGGCCAGGCCCGCCGCGCGGGGGAGCCCAGGGGGGGGGGGCAGGCGCGGAGGGGGAGGGGCGAGGGTTCGCAGAGGGGCGGCGATGCCAGGGTGGGGCCAGGGAATCACCCACCAACCCAACCCAGCCCGAGGGCCCCAGTGTGCCCTCCATTCCCAGGGGGGGGGGGCGACGTCGGGGAGCACTGGAAAAAACGCGTGTGGAACCCGTACCCGCCCCCAAGTCGAAAGTGGGGTCTTCGGGTCAGGTTGGAGTGGTCTGGTAGGCAGTCAGGGAGCGAACCCAGCTGGATGCGCACATCTCCTTCTTCCAGGAGCCGTTGGGGGCGGCATTCCTCCCCACCCCGCCTTTGCCCCTACCCCGCCTTTGCGCCCGCCCGGAAGGAGCGGGGGGGGGGTGGAGGCGGGCTTCAAGGATGCAGTGTTTTGGAGGAGGTGGAAGGATGTCGGAGAGGGGGACTGGGAGGACGACGACGAACACCACCACGACGATGGCGACGGACACGACGACGACGACGACGACGAAAGTAGGAGGAAAAGGTCAGGATCCGGCCCTGAAAGGGCACCCCCTCCAGGGCTATAAACTGCCCAGCTGGGCACATAGTTAGGCCTATTCAGGGCTGCACATGCCCAGCTGGGCACATAGTTAGCGCCTCTGAGTCCTCCCAAGCAGCGCTGACCTTGGACTCTGAATCGGCACGGAGCCTTGACACTCGGGCCGCATCTCGGCCGTCAGCTCGCACCCAATCCGAGTCTAGCATGGCAAAGCCAGAGCAGCGCAAGAGTTCTTCCATGGCCTGTTCCCTGTATACGGGAGCATGCATAGCAGGCGCTGCTTGGCCGATCACTGGCGCAATCCGCAAGCGTTCCTGCACCTAGGGGCACAGGAGGGGCCAAAGGTGAGATGTTCGAAGCGGGCACGGTAGAGCGGGAATTTGGGCAAATGCACCGGAGCTGCTCGCGGCCGCCGGCGTGCCGCCTACCACGGCACGTGCCTTGCATCAGCTTCCTTCTGGCCTGCCCTAGAAAAAGGTTTCCCACAGCATATGCAGAAGATGAGAGCCGCACTTTTGCCTGCAGCAACACGTGGCCTGAGCCATGCGCGCACAGCCCACTCCACAAGTGGTCAGAACACAAGTGTACGTCTGAGACGCCTCCCCATGGAGGCGCCGTCCCATGAGCCCGAATTGCATTTGAGCAATGCCAAAGAAAGGGATCGGTTGCGCTGACATTCGCGAAAGTTCTCGCGTAAGCGACCTCGCTTCCAGAGTCACGTGCCGCGCTGGCGGCCCGCGCAAGCCACCGCGTAAGATCGCAATGCCATCTCGCGGCTCGCGCAAGACCTGTTTCTTTTTGTCGCTCACCTGTCCCTTTGGGCTCAACTGCCTCGGTGGCTACTCACCGGGTTGCTGCTCCAAGGCCTCGCGCGGCGGGCCGGTTCTGGGCCGTGCAGGCCACGCAGCGCCGCCGTGCTGACGTGCCTCCACGTTCGCGTGGAGGAAGTCCTCGCGGTCCGCATGCCTGGCCTCGCCCATGATCGCAGCGAGCTCGGTGGCCCAGCGCGCATGCTCCACGGCACACTCCGCACGACCGCGCTTCGGGTGCTCGTCCTCGAGGGTCGTGCTGTGCGCGGCCGCCCCGAGCCCAGCAGGCCCGTCCGCCCTGTTGTTGCCGCGACGCTCCCACGAGGTCGTCCGGCTGGCTTCCACGCAAGCCGCAGTGCCGTGTCCAAGCGTTTGGTGCGCCTGGAGATCGCCAGGGCTGAAGGAGCCCCAGGAAGCCCCCCATAGTTGAGGTCGGGGAGACGCCGCATCTCTCCCTGCCCCAGCTCCTCGCGCCAGGACCCGGAGGGTAGCCATAAAGTCGATGTAGATCTAAAACGGCTCCATCGCCATGAATTTCAGCATATATGTATATATATACACACACATATTGCGAAGTCCTCCGCGTCGGGGTCGGTCTAGACAGGCGCTAATTCAAGCGGCACTGGCCCATAGGCTGCGCTGACCAATCGTCCAAACCGGCCAGCCCTTTCCAAGCCAGGTAGTTTCCCGCAAATCGAATCGCCGTCAAGGAAGAGCATACCGTTCAACAAGCCATCAGCAGGCTCCGTGATCAAATAGATCAATTGCTCCAGGGCGCTTGTTCAAGATTGGCCGTGGATTCGGGACCATTCCTCGGCAGACTCGCCCAGCGGCAGCTGGCTCTGGCGCTTCATCGCAACCTCCTCGTTGCGTGTTCGCGCCGAAGCCCAGCATGAGGAGCACATTGATCTTGGCGATGGCAGAGCGTCCTTGGACACCCCCTGCACAGGGTGCGGGTCGGAGATGCTGAGTGGTGGAGGAGGAGAAGGGCGAGGGGCAGTGGAAGGAGGAGGATGGACTCTCAGTCGCTCTTCCCCTGCCCCGAGCGTCGGAGGCAGAGGGACCCTGACCTCGGGTGGCGGATCTCTTTTCATTATCTCTCTCTCTCCCCTCTTTTCATCATCTCTCTCTCTCTCTCTCTCGCTGGGGGCAGCGAGGAGGTTGCTCCTGATCCCCTCCGCTCCTCCCAGCGTGCGTCAGGCTCCTCCCTCTCCGTCAATTGCAGTCAACCCCCCTTGAGAGATCAACGTAGCCAATGGTGGACGCGCGTCAACACGGTGCTCGGAGTTCTCCACCGCCATACGTGCAGGGCCAACGGGCAGAGACAGCGAGATGAGTACGCCAAGGTATGCCGCACGTTCAGCACCTCCAGACCATTCAAAGCTCACACCATCTTCCATCCTGTGAAGGATACTTCGCGGGCCAAGTGACTGAAAGTCTTGCAGGCACCGTCCATGATTGCGACACCAGTACTCGAGAATTACATCGACGCAGCCAAACGCATTTCAGGTGTTCGACGCACGGCCATTCGGGAACCAGTTCTTGAGTTCAAACATTCGTTGTTGCTACGCCAGAAGCAGTTAGACTCCTACATCTGTTACTCAAGAAGGACCCGCCTGCAAGTCATGAGCGACAACTAGATGACAGAAATTGAAGCACCTGGCTGATATCACACAGTAGGGCGAGGTCAAGGATCTGCTCCGCCTCAACCGTGCGAGGCGGAGTACGAGGCGCTCCCTGAGATCAACCCCGAGCAGGCCCATTTGAATGCGGCTGCCATGAAGGCCCGATCTGGCCCGGGGATCGACGTGCTCACCCCGGTCGACTACTAGCGCCTGCCTCATGGTGCGATCAAGTCAGGAGGAAAAGAAACACACAGACACAATTAATCCTCGATTTCCCAGAAAATATGGGAAAATATGGGAAGTGGGGGGGGAAAACAAAAACCCAGAAAATATGGGAAAATATGGGGGATCCTTTTATTTGTGTGTATTTATTTGTGTGTCCTGGGGCCCCTTCATCAAGGAGTTAACGCAGCCCCTCGGCAACATGGATCCGGCGCTGGCATGGCCTCTGCTGACGCTCTTGGTCGCCAGGCACTCGACGCCGGAAAGGGCGAAAGGGAACAAGGCCAACGGCATGATCCCCATGGTGCTAGGGAGACTGTGATCACACCCCCGCGAGCCGCTGGTCCGCCAGTGGCCCACGGAGGAAGCCCAGTCGTGGGACGCGGCAGCGGCAGGTAACTCATGCCTGCAGGGGGGCACAACACCGCGCCATCGACGCCGTGGTGATGGAATTCGGACAGGGTCTGCTGGACATCCAGGAGTTCTACGAGACGGCACCGTGGATACCACTGGCCAAAGCGGCCTTCCGCCTATATCTCCCGCCAGTCACTCTTCAGTTGAAGTTGTTACACTGTGTTGTTGTTCAGACACTCGCTCAAGATGGGGCGGTGGCCAACACCGTTCGAACCCTGTCAGACCGTGATTCAATCACGGAGGTCAATGACAGATGTGTTCGATGTTTTATTATATTGCATGACGACAGTTGTGCCAATTGCGACCCCAAGGATGTCGCATCGAGTTTGGGTGGGCGACATTTGCGGTAAGACAGTGGGTTCCAGGAAAACAGCGCGAAGTGTTTTTATCCGCGGAGCGGTCAAGACGGGCCAGTAGCTCGCCAAAGTAAGCCTCGAGTTGGCCAAAGAAGTCCGCCATTACGTGCACGACCTCGGATGGATCACACGCTGCAGCGAAGGCCAAATTCAAAGGTGCCCCAGCCAAGGTTGCCCATCAGTCAGCCCACCTCGGCGATGCTTTCTGTCGCGACAGGCCAGGGCGGGCAATCTGGAAGCAACGGCCGGTTAAGCACAATATGACGAATGACAAAGTTGATCGTTTCAGTCGGGCTTCCAGGCGTTACGGGCTGGCGGCCAGGTTCGAGTGCAACGGAAGCGAAGCAGCAGGGTCAGATTGCGTCCAGATGCACGGCACGTTTGGACAACAAGTGGCACAGTGCAGAAGACGGTCGGACCAAATCAACGTGGCGGGAACGAGAGGCAGATGCTTACCCGCGCCCCTGGACTTACGTGCCCAGTCTTGCGACCCAGCGGTACAGCATCCAACGAGATGCATCGACGCGTATCCCAACAGCTGTCAAGCGCGCCCTGAGCTGCGCCAAAGTATCCGCCATGTCTGGGACAAGACTCATACTGAGCTGACAATCTCGGCCACCATCCTGAAACTCGCAAGGCTCACCTTGTGTCCAAGTCTGGCGCCAGCGTGGTCCCACGCCCCATTGCGCGCCACGGCAGAGGAGTGACTGTTCCCAGATGTGATTTACATTGCCAACAAGTGGTTGGACAAGCACGGTGACTTCATCGAATACATCAAAACCTCCGCAGGGTTTGTTGTCTGGCGGCCAGCTGCACAAGGCTACTGTGGAGGCGGGGTATTTCATATTATTGGTGAGACACGTTGGGCTGCCCCCCCACGGGGCCCACTTCGCCGAGCTTTTGGTCAACATCGGCACAAGTGGATGAGCTACAAATGGCGCGTGGAGTGCAATAGATGTAGGACGCAGTGCGAGTCCGCGCTCCACAGGTTCTGAAAACGAGGACGCCATCCGGTATATCAACACGAAGCAGCTGGTCCATGAGGCGCCCCAGCGGGTTGGACGAGCCTACCCGACCCACGGGTATCAGAGCATTGGGAGTTCACACGCATCAGCGACCTCACCCAGGGCATCTTCGGCACGGGGCATGCTGAGGGGCCGGTCGAGATTTCCGGATACGCCAGCGGGGGTGAGGTCTCAGGGCGACTTCGGTTCCACAGAGTTAGAGGTGTTATTGTACGTATCGGGCAGCTAGTGCCCACAAATGACATCAAAGGCACAGTGCTCGATTCTTTCTCGGGGGCCGGCCAAGTGGTTGGAAGGGGTGAGTTGATGGCACTTGCGAGTTGCGTTGCACTCGCACATCCTCCGCCTTTGTGACTGTCTGTGAGTCTGTTGCACACGGCTGGTATCCCCAAAGATCTTAGCAATTTGTGGGGGAGGATGTGGACACGTTGAATAACACGTTGCCCGTGGCACACCGCACAAAGAGTGCTGTTGCATGAAACAAAAGCGCATTTGATCAGAATGCGTCGTCAAGCCACGCTCGACATCATCAGGGCTGCGACTGAGGTAGATGGTGCGGGGAAGTATGCGGAGGGAGGCCCCTGTGAGTGCTCCCCTCCACCCCTCCCTCCTCCGCGGTGTGTTGTTGCTGTCGCTGAAGGCCTAGTTGGTCGAACGCCAGGGGAAGCCTTCGTTGTCACCAATCGGCATCATCCGCCACCGTGAAATAATTTGTTAGTTCGAAATGTCAACTTCCATACTGTTGATGGTGTAGTGCTCTCACCTTCCAAGAGGGCTCGAATTCATATCGCCGGGGGGGGAGCCTACACGACGCACACCCTGAATGTTCATCCGACCGTTCAGGTTTGGTCATGATCCGAGTGTGGGGTGATCGCCAATAGAGCTCTGCGTTTCCTTAGAAGTCTTTCCATCGGAAAGATGAGTAACATTGGTAAGGGATACCTTGACAGGATCAGGATGGGCGTAGCCCCCAAAAGTCCTGAGCCGAGCCCAGCAATCGATTCGATGCTCGAAGGTCCCGATGCCGAAGCCGTCTCTTTAAACCAGCCAACTAAGATGCATCCGCAACGGTGTCCACTCCACTACACTCCCTTTCCTTATCCTCCCTCACTCGTTCATCATTTCTTCTTTCCTTTTATATCCTCACTTCATATCGTATCCCGTTGCCTCCTTCCATCCTACCTCCTCCTTCTTTTAAGTCCTCTCTCATTCCCTCGCGTTTCCCTCTCCAGCACCCTTCCGCGACCCGTTTTTACCCTACGTGTCTCCGTCTTCCACCCCCCTCTCTCCTCCATTGCCTCCTCCCTCTCGTTCGCCCCAACAGTCGGCAAGCAACAGTACAGGCTCCAAATCCACAAATGACCGCAGTCTTCTCCAGCCTCTTCGAGACCGAGACTTCTGTTGTGGTCGAGCTCACGTGAAGGCCGTTTTGGGCCCGTCATCCTTGTCCCCGCCGTCTGTTCCCCCCCACACTTCCCTCACCTCCCTTCCCCACCCTCCATCCCCCCTCCGCTTCAGTCATGTCCCTTTCCTTCCCTCCCTCATGTGCCCACACCTCTACCCTTCGCTCCCACATCCCCTTCCACATCCCACTTCGCCCCCCAACTGCCCCACTCCTTAACTCATAACCCCTTCCTACCCCCATGGGTCTCTCCCGCTCCCCCATCACTCCATTTCCGTAGTTCGACGTTTTCTTTGCCTTGCAGAGGGAGAAAAGAGGAAGCGCGGCACTTGAGGGTGGACCCTTGTCGAGCCCTCCATTGCGCACAATGGCGCCCGCAGTGAAGCGGAACGTGGCCGCAGGCAGGCAGTGCAGCTCATGTCGTGCATTCCCACCGGCTCCTGTCCTGATCCCACCGCTGCGGCTCTGCCAGGGGCAACGATAAGGGGGGATCGGCTACAGGAGGGGGGCTGCATCGACCCCCAATCGCCATTGATCGCCGGAAGGGGATAGGGCTCCGATAGCCTCCCCGCCCAAGAGCGTTTGGATTTGCTATCGGGGGCCCATCGCCGATTTGTCGTCGATGCATCGCCGATTCGAACTCGATGTGTCCAGTGGGTAGAAGTCCTGCCTGCGATATATTAACAACTGCCCGCCTGCCGCTGCGTGCGTTTGGCTCAAGTCTCCACACTCCAGAGGAGTTGGTAGGCGAAGCTGTAGTCGGAAAATATTGCGCTCGCTTCCGCGCGCGCATCGCCGCAATGTCGTCGATTAACACGAAGGGACAGATCATGCATGCACAAGGTCCTCTCGAAGAGACCCCCTGAACTAGGTGAAAATGGAGAAGATCATCGCGTCGGCGGGGCTGTTCTGCAGATGATGTGGATCATCTGACCAAAAGCATGTCGTTCCAAGAGTTAATCCCCCCTATCGTTGCCGTCTCAGGTTTCTGGCAGCATCGCAATTCAGCAGCCATCGCAGCTGGGTGGACTCTGCATCACCCTTGTTTCGCGTTTGCGGATTTCTCGGGGCAAGCGGAAGGATGTTTCCGGGCACCGCGAGGACGCACGACAGGGTTAGAGGACCGCGAGGACGCACGGCGTTCCGAGCAGCAGGCTCCTGAACAGGGCTGCCCTGGCGGACCTAGGGAGGGGAATAATGGAACCGTTGCCCGTGTAATGTTCGTTGAAGTTATCTTGGGCTTCGCCAGGACGAGCGCGAGGACGATCATCAGGATTGACACCGAGGATTATTGAATAGCCGACATGCACCCAAGCCCCACCCGCCCGCCAACCCCACGCCTTCCCAACCGCCCAGCCACGCTTGCACGCTCGTTTGTCCGCCGACCCCATTCGCCCACCGATCCCGCCCGCACTCTCTCCGGGAGGCAAAGGAATGCGTGTTGGTGTTCACTGGGCAGAGAATTGGCAAATTGAGCTCGAGTGAGTCCGAAAGCTTCCTGCAACCTCGATATCTGGTTCGAATTGAAGTGAGTGTTTACTATATGTTAACAGGGTCTTTGCGGTCGGCATATGGATAGATCTCGGTGGCGCCAGCCTCGTGTCATCAATGCGAAGACCGCGCATGGGCAGGCTTCAGCTGCAGAGAGTCACGGGCAACAGCCTTGCCAAGCCATTCCTTAGAGGCGCCGCCGCGCGAACATGTTCAATTGTTATGTGCGCGTTCATGTTGGCATGCGGTCTCCATTACAATGTTGACAATGGTGTGTCGGTGTTTGTTGTGGTAACGTGGGGCCGTCTTTCAATGAAGGCACATGCGTTGTGATGCACGTGCCGCCGGACATTTATACGTGTGCCTGCACGCTGGGCGGACATGTCACACCGTAGACCCAAGATCTCTTCTCTTGAGTGCCCGGTTACATATACGGGTGTTCGCCTCCGCGTGCCCAGCTCACGTTGGCAGCATTACAAGGCGACGTTCGCATTGATGATGGCGATGTTGCTGTTGCCGCGAGGGTTGGTGTGGTGCCTCCCCGTCCTCATCCGCCCCTTCTCCCCCACCCTTCCCCCATCGTCACCGTTTGCCTCAACCTGGCGTTCCCTAGCCGCCTGCGCCTGCGCATGCACGCCCAGCTCAGCCGTTGCAGGCTTCGTTCGTCCTAAATGCATTGGGCTGTTGTTACCCCTTTTTAAAAACCGGCGTGTTGGAAAAAAATGTTTCCAAGCGTTTTTAATCCCAACCGCAAAAATGAAAACACAAGAATTGTTCGTTATTCGTTGGCCGCTGTTGCTGGTTGTCCGTTGGGCCTCAGGTCTTGTTTCGCGCCAGTATTAGACCAGTGTTAGCGCGTTTTGTTTGCGTGTTTTCTTTATCCGCGCGCAGGGCGGAAGGAACGGGAGGGGAGCCAAGACGGCAGGAAAGACAAGAAGCACTTCTCGACAAGAACGCAAATATTGCGAGAAGCAAAAATGATCTACAGCGACGAGCCTAAAAACGTGAAAAATCAATCGAATGGCTTCCGGCCCATCCCGCCACCGTGCCTGGGCTGTGGGTATAAAGCCTATTGGATGTTTGTCGGGATCTCGTGGACGGGCCTCTTGGAGGCAGTTTTGAGGCCTCTTGGGGACCGTTTCGGGGCGCCTCTTGCGGCCTCGTCTTTTGGGGCCTCCTAAAGGCCTTTTGGGGCGGAAGACCCGGATTTTCTGTTCGTATTTCCTCTCTTGGGCCCCTTTCGAGACCGTCTTGGGCCGTTTTGGGCAGTCTTGGGCGCCTCTTGAGCCGTCTGGGGGCATTCTTAGGCCGTCTTGGGGGCCCTTTTGGAAACCTCTTGGGCCGTCTTGGGGTGGTTCTGGGGGCCTCTTGGGCCGAGTTCGAGCGTCGGAAAGCCGAACAGGCGAGAACGCCAAAATCTGTCCAAAGCAGTATTCTCGTGACATCTTGGCGGCCGCGTGGGCCATCTCGAGGCCATCTTGGGCGTCTTGGAGCGATCTTGGGGCGACTTGGGGACATCTGTGACCATTTTGGGGGTCTCTTGGAGCCATCTGGGCTCGTTTTGGGGGCCCTCCTGGGCGGGGCAGGCCGACGTGAGCGATTCCGGCGGACCCCGGCAGACCCCCGATTGGCCCGGGAGGCGATTGGTCTGGGTCCTGACAGCATTACCACTGTAGCTGCAGCAGCTGCAGCAGCAGCACAGCCCTCTCAGTGTTGCATGATGAGCCTTTGGGCACCCCATGTCGTGCTAGAGGCACGGTGGCGGACCGTGGAAACGTGGAATGAAGGTCGCGGTTGTTTTAAGCGTTTTTAGCGCTTTAGCGTGTCAAGAGCTCAAAAAAACAAAACGGGCGTTTTCAGGGTGAACCAAATGCGGGGCAAGATGTATGTCCAATCCGTTGCGTTCGGGACTTCCTGGAAAGGGGCACCAAATTGCCGAGGCGCAGTTCACCTTGTGGGCGATAAGGAGGTTCGGGAGGGAGGAATCAACGCCTCACTCAATCGATCTCATTATCATCATCACTATCGATCGCACAACCGATCTCATTATGAATATCATAATCGGCTTCCCTATCCCTCTCACTATCGATCTCACTATCGATATCACTATCCCTCACATTCTCGATCCCACTATCGGTCTCACTATCGATCGCACCACCGATCTCACTATCGATCTCACTATCGATCGCACGAGCGATCTCACTATATCGATACCGCAATTGATACCACTATCGACAACACTGTGGACATCACTATCGATCTCACTATCGATCTCACCATCCCTCCCACTAAACGATCTTCTCACTATCGATCTCAATATCAATCTTACTATCGATATCACGGGAAACCACGGGACACCGCGGGCCTCCACGGCGGGACCCTGGGGGTCACCACGGGCCTCCACGGGACACCATCAGGGGAAACCACCAGAGACCGCGGGACACCACGGGACACCAGCGGGACACCAGCGGGACACAACGTCGGGACACCGCGGTGCACCATCGGGACAGTGCGGGACACCGCGGCGGGACACCCCGAGCCACCGCGCGCCCACCGGAAGGCCGGACTTTTGCAGCCGAATCGCCGTGGAAACGGCGAGATCGTTCCTCTCGCACGCCCACGCAGCTTCGCCTCGCCTCGCATGCACGACGCGAACACGAAACCGAAATCGACTTCCCGGCGGGGGGCTCTCCGTGCCATCGCGATCTCAGCCCTTTATTGCCGCTCCTAGCTTCCAGGGGCTAGATTTCTATCTACATCCACTGCGCCTTTGGTTTCTGGGGAAGGGAGCCCGAAACTCCAAGATGCAGTGGGCATGAATATACACCTTGCCCGAACCATCCCCAACCATCGCGAACCGCAACCATCGCCAACCATCCCTGACCATCGCCAGTCGGAGCCTCCCAACACTCCAACCATCGCCTGCACTGCAGGCTCTGTTCCTTTGCTCGCCAGCCGCCAGAAGGGCCTCCTCGGCTGGTGCCCCCAGTCCCCCTGTGGCCGCGGTGTTGCCCTGAGTCGCGGCCAGGCTCTTTGGATATACGTAGGGGGATAGGAACCCTGAGATCAGACGCCTTGCCAGGTGTCGGCGCTAATCACCAGCGCTGCGGTGGTGCGCTTCCATCTGGCGGGCGCCCCCCCGCGATTCGCCCGACCACGGGGACCATTTTTTGATAACGCGCCTGGCTGGTGTTTGTTTCTCACAAACTGACACGACTGCATTTGAAGCGGTTGCGGCCTAGGGTCAGACACGCTTCCGCATGCCGCACTGGTCGGTCTCGACATTTATGTCTGCATTTGTGTATTCCCTATGTTGCGCATCTCCTGAGGTCGACCTTGCACCCGCGTGCTGCAACGATCGGCCTGGGCACCCCACACCGCCCAGGAGCGCGGGGCTTCGCGATCGGGGGCGTGTCCGCGATCTCACGGCGATGCATCGCCGATTTCACGTCCCTGACCCACCGGGTGCGCCCCCATCGTTCTTCCTTCGGAGGAGGGCCAGTTGAGACAACCGCGGCTCCCCCGCTAGGCCCAAGTCCGCACAATATCGGTCCCCAGTCCCCGTTGGGGAGCTCTCCTCTGATTGTCTTCGTCCGAGCCTCACGCAGCCGTTCGGGACGACCCCGGCATCCCCGAAACGCCCGTGACGAGACGCAGCTAACAGGAACCACCCCAGGCCCCAGGAACCTCCGAACACACGCGAAAACATCCGGAGAACTCCAAGGCCGCGGGAAGGACTCCGAGCCGAGTTCCTTTTCCCCCTGAGCCACCCCCCCTCGTTCTAGTTTCGATTTGTCGCCCAGGCCACTCCCCGGCTGGCACCTCGCTGCCTGCGGTGCCGCATGGGCAACGAGGCTTCCGGCGGCTGGAGGGGGGCAGCGAGGCCTCTGGCGGTTGGGCGACGAAAGAAAACCAGTCCAACTGCCCCGACGTTTTGCGCGCAAGTTGCCCGCGCAGGTCGCGCGTAAGCGCCCTCTCTTCTAATATAGCGTACCGTGCTGGCGGCCCGCGTAAAGCCGCGGCGTACGGTCGCCATGCCATCTCGTGTAAGACCCGTTTCTTTTCGTCGCGCAGTTGGTTCCGGCCCCACTGCTGGACGCCTTCTTCGATGCATTGGCGCCTCAATCGGCTACGTGAGCCGATTCGCCAGCCCTGAATGAGGGCGGAGACGAGGAGACGAGGAGGAGGAGGAAGGGGAGAGAGGGCAGGAGGGGGGAGCGCTCCAGACATCCAGGCTCCTCGCGTCGTGGGAAAAACACGACGGGCGTGTTTTCGCCGTCGCCAGCCTCAGGGGGGCGATCTCTCATGAAACGGCTCGGGATGAGAAGTTGGTCCCGGGGGAAGGGTCCAGACATTTGGGGGTCCACGTGGAAAGAATACGACGTCGGAGACGATCGGGAATAGGAGGGAGACGGACGGAGTTGGCGGAGGGCGAGGGTGGAGTGGCAGCAGCAGGAGCAATTGTCATCAGCAGGAGGAGCAGGAGGAGGGAGTAGGAGGCCGGAGAGGAAGGTTGAGGAGGAGGAGGAGGAGGAGGATGGAGCAGGATTGGAGGATGCATGGGGGGAATCAATGTTCGCAAGATCCGGCGACAACAGAGCTCTCCGATGATCCCGGTAGGGCGCTGAGAACTGATTCGGGGCCCATGTCAAGGAATTCGAAATTCGAATGCGGGCGGGCGTGCACGAAGGCGCACAGGCCGCTTCGAGATCAGTTCTGTGTCCACGGCCAGGGATGTCGGTCTGTGTTGGGAGGTCCGTGGGCGGCCACCCCGAGACAGAGCGAGAAGTCCGTAGGGGAGCCCCGACCCCCGACCCCAGACGGGCGCCCCCAGCAAGTCTCCATGGAGTAATCCCCAGAAGCAATTCTCGTGCATCTCCTGGCGATAACGGCGTTTGCCCGGGGGGGGAAGGGGGGGAGGAGGGCCCCCCAGAGAAGGGGGGGTGGAAGGGGGGAGCAATTGGGAGAAAGCAGGGACAGGACGGCATGGGAGGAGGAGAGGATGGAGGAGGGATGAGGTAGGGAGCAGCTGTCAACAGCAGGATGTGCGGGAGGAGTAGGGACCTTTCTTGACCTTGCCAAGCTGGGCGCTCTCCGATAAACGGAGACCCACTCGTCACAGTCAGTGCCCAGGCGGGAACCTCACCCCGCTCTTAGGAGGGAGACCACGCCCCAAACGAGACAGCACCTCACGGCCCGCTTTGGTGGGGCCTTGAGGTGGGCACAGCTCGGCCAGCGCCTGAACTTTGTCGACGCAGTGCCGACCGCACACCCTGCAAAACAATACACCTCGCATGCAGTCCAACTGATGGCTGCTATGCACGCGGGACCAACACGGGTGGGCCAGAACCACCCCTGGGCCGTCAAGTGGCGCAGGGGGGCCCGTGCATCGCCCAGGCACGAAGTCGGCGAGGCGGCCTGCGAAGGCCCGAAATTTACGACCGCACACCTGGCACCGCAACAGGCCCTTCTTGGCAGGCTCGACCGAATGGCCAGCCGCCAACAGCCGCCGACGACGGACGACATCGGTGGGCAGCGACCTCGGGCGAGGTGGCGGCCTACCAACGCGCTCAGCCTTATTGCGGTGGCAAGTGAGGCTAACCTCCTTATTGACGTCGAGCAAACGGCACAGCACTTGGGAGGTTAGCAAATCAACCTCGTGAATTAGCTGGACAAACTCGGGAGCCACCTCCCCTTTTGCAGCGGCCACCCCAGCAAAATGATCGGCACAGGCATTCAAAAAGCATTCGGCCTCACTGAGGCCCCAAGCCTCACGCAAGGACGCCGTAGTATGCGCGTTCGTCCACAACAACTCAATATTGCCAGAGCGAGAATCCATTGCCTCCCAGATCAAAGCCCACAGATCCATCATCGGAGAAGTTCTGGATATCAGCTCACGTGGCCTACGGAGGGCCCACACTAGGGGAAGGTAGTCCGAATACACCACGACATCACCCGTGGTCAGGCGCAACAGCTGGAGGAAGGCGAACAACTCAGCCCTCGGGCTGGACTGATCTCGAGTAGGTAACGTCCCACACAGGACTCCATCAAATTTAAAATCGCCAGGTTCAGAGGTCTCGTCCATACGCACCATGGCCCAACCACACCTCCGAAGTCTCCAGTCATGAGCATGTATTCCCCCAGAGCCATCAAGGCCCCAAGTGCCTCCAACAACAGGCGACCTTGCAGACAAAACACCCCATCCGAAGACAAGTGGAGCAGGCGGCGGAACACGATCAACGGCGGCAGCCAGCGTAGGGAGCCCCCTATTCCAGAAGGCACTCTCAGGACACGTACGCGCGGCCTCCTGGGCGTCAGGAACCAGATGTGCAGACTGACTCATACCATTGGACTCAATCAACTCATTGCAACTGCAAAACCAGACACGATGCATCATCGTTTCCTGACCAGCGCCGCATCGAGGGCAGACTCCATCAGAACAGTAGCCAGCCTGTCGAAGCCGTGCTTCAGGCCAGCATCCACTACAGACAATGCACGCCAGTAGCGCTGCATCTTGATGGGAGCCGTCGGACACGAGCTTCCTGTACATACGCCTGAAAACTGTAAAATTAATACCTTCCTCAATCCCAACCCCACAATAGTGCTTGCTTGCATCCGTCCAGTTCTTCAGGGAAACTGTATGCTTCACACTCAGATCCAGGAAATACAGGAAATCAGAGCGCTCAGCATCAAGCACCATCGTGGGGGTTCTCCATCTGGTCGGGGAGATAGGCTCCCAACCTAGATCCAACAGCGTAGCCACGACAGCAGCAATAGGACCCTTCACCGTCGCCCAGCGACGGTTGGGCGCTAAGGAGAGCAACTTGGCCCGCACAGAGTCCCAAGTCCGAGACACGCCCGTCCGAAGGCCCAGGGACAAGGACTTCCAGATGTCAGCCAGAGCTCCCAGTTGCTCTCTCCGAAGTCTACCCGAGGGGTCGTCGGCATACTGATGACGAACGGCCAGGACCGTAGTGGTACACATCCCAGGGGACCAGAAGCCCGAACACTTAGCCGCCGAGGCTCGGAAAGACTGGACCTTAGAGACAGGTAATCCCAAGACACTATGGCTCCAAGTGCCAACACTCAAAACACCTGGTTTGAACAGCTTCCGAGACCTCCCACACAATTTAGCCAGGTACTGCAGTTTCCTAGCTCTCCTGAACGCAGTCCTTCTCCTGAGACGAACCTTCCAAGCACACCTTCTCCTCCCAGCCGTAGACATAACACCGAGATCCTTCACAGCCTCCGAGAAACCAACAGGGATCTCCATCCGCCTGAACTCTTCTACTACAGCACGCTGCAAGGACGCACAGGAAGCAACCACGCTACTCTTCGCAGATACCTTGCACCCGCATGCAGTAACGTCACGGAAAAACTGGAGCACGGCAGACGGGATCATTCTCATAACAAATTTATTCGTGCCAAGCGCAAACTGCGTAATGTCATCCACATACGATTGCACAGGAACATGCGGGAGGCGATGGTGCGCTCGATGCAACACATCATGTAGCAATGCTTTCACCCATGGCATCGACTGCGTGCAACCTGCAAGGGTAGAATTACCAGTGGGGATAACCTTGGATAACATACCTTCAACTTCCAACACACGCGGCGAGGAATGGACCAGGATCCCCAGGTACAACAACATCGGGGGATACTCCAGCCTCAAGGCCAGCTGCACGAGCATGGATACAACCACATTGTCGAAAAACTTCTCCATGAGGCGGGGGAGGAGGAGGAGGATGGAGCAGGAGGGAGGGAGGCGTCTAGTACAGGACTGTAGAGGTGTATGGATGTGGGATAAGATGAGGACGAGGGGGGGAGACGCGGGACGAAGGAGGACGCAGAAAAGCGAGAGGAATGGATGGAACAGGTTGTGGCTACCAACAGCTCCCCTCGTCTCCCCCGTCCACCCATGTCTTTCCCACGATTTCCCCCCTCTCGCCCCGCCCTCCTGCTCCCACTCCTCCCCCTCCCATCCCGTTCTGGATCGGCCCTCTTGGCCCCTCTCGACGCGCCCGCGGCCTGCCGCTGCAAGTCTTGCTGGGAACCGAGGCTGGACGGCTGGACGTAAGCCCACGTCTGAGCAAAAACCTGTTCTGCTCCCCTCCCTCGTCCTCCTTCCTCAGACATGTTGGCGTCCTGAAATAAGCAGAACGAAACAAAAAGAACGGGATGCTTGTTTTTCTGTGGCGCCCGGGGGCCTTTGCCTGGCCTCGGGACCGTCAACATACGATTCAGGATGGGAAACCGGCCCCCGGGAAAAGGGCCCAGACCTCCTTGGGAGCCCATGACATGAAGAAGTCTTGGCGTCGGGTGTCCTCTTGTCCTCCTCCGCCCTCTCGGCCCACGGGGGACCCTCCCCACCGAGGCCCCCTCCCTCGAGCCGGAGCCTTGCGCCCTGCGGACTCTGCTCCGGTCGGGCGCGGCCGCTGCCGGCTCGCCTGCGCCCTGCGCTTGCTCTCGCCCGCCCCCCCCCTTCCAGTGGGGCGCGCCTGTCGCCATGGGCCGGGCGCGGCTCGCACGACTGGGAGGATGGGCCCAAGGGGGGGACGCATTGACGCCCAGACGCCCATTGACTCTCGGGAGGGGCCCAACATGTCCGCCCGGGAGAGTGCGGATTCGCTCCCCGCAATGTATCGCCGAGTCGAGGTCATAGTTCCGCCCGAGTGCCTGGGCATGCGCTTGGGAGCGTGCCAAGGGGGGCGTTTTTTCTTGGGTGAGGGGACTCGGCGCACCACTGAGAAGGAGGATGAGGAGGAGGAGCAAGAGCAGGAGGAGGAGGATCGGGAAGAAGAGGAGGAGGAGGAGAAGGCGGATCGGGAAGAGGAGGGGGAGGAGGAGGAGGAAGAGGACCAGGAAAGGGGAACCTTCTGGTCCAACCTCTGGGCCATCGCTGGCCTCGGCAGACCGGAGGTGCCCTTGCCCGAGAGGGGGCGGGGGGAAGGGGCGTTAGTTTGTCAGCACGGTGCATGCCGTGCGGTGCGTGCGTCACTCTCGCCGTCGTCTCTCCTCCGCCTCCTCCGCCTCCGCCTCCTCCTCCTCCTCCTCCTCATCGACCCTCCCCCTCTTCCATTCTTTTCCTTCTAAAAAATATCCTGCCTTTCGCACCCCCAGGCGTGTCGGTAGGGCGGGCCAGAAGTTTCGCCTGAGACACCCTCACCATTCATGATGGGGAAGGGTTGCAACAGTTTCGCGGATGGACAACGGTTTCTTTCCGAAGCGTGGCTCTCGCTTTAGCGCCGCGCATATTCGTTAAAATGCTGGTAGCGGTTTCAAGAAATCGTATGGCTGAAGTCCCAGAAAGAGTGTTCGGGCACGGCTTAGGATCTTGTCAGGATGGAACAGTCATGGTGGTGAGGATCAAAGAATGATTTGTTGTTGCAAGGTCCAGGATTGTCAGGACGCAATAGTTACCTTCATCAGCGGCGCTGTAGTCCCAGGAACGGTGTTTTGACACGATTGAGGATTATGAGACAGTTGCTTTCTAATGTGCTTCTTTCCGCAATGAAGATAGATTATTATGGTGACCTATGAAGAGAGAGAGAGAGAGAGATTGGAAGGAGGGTGTATTGTAGCATCGTTGATGCGCCTTGGGTTTACATTGGTCCTCCTCTTCCGCTTCGTCCTCCTCCCCAAGGTAAGCTCGCGCCGTGAAACACTCACGAGGGGACGGTTTTGGCAGATTCGGGATGAAAAGCCAGTCCCGGGGAAAGGGTCGGGACTTCAGAGTACCCCGCACTGAAAAAAAAAACAGGAAATCACATGCCTGGGTCACCATCCTCCACCCCCTCCTCCTCCACCCCCGTCCTCCAACTGCTCCTCCTCCACTTCCACCCCTGTCCTCCTCTCCTCTTCCCCTGCTTCGCCCCGATTGGCTCCGCTGAAGTACTTTCCCTGTCTGCCCCCTCAACCCCAAGTGATGACCCCCAAGTGCAGGCACGGTTTGGGGGGCATGCCTCATGGCGCGCCACCGCCCCCGCCTCCGAAGGTCCCGCCACTCAGGTCCCTGCCCTGCGAGGCCAGGCCACGGGGCGGGCCCCCAAGCATCGGCGCGGCGAGAGGGTGCGTCGCGCGCGCTGCCTTGTTCTGCAGGGAGCCGTTTGGGAAGGCGCTGAGCCAAGGCCGCACAGCCGAATCATCGTGTGCGTTCCAGTGCGTTCGGGCCACGAGATCTGTACATCTCGTCGCCCTTTGCTTGAAGAAGCAATGTCGACATATGAGGACAGCACAACCCATCCCCACCCCCAGCCAGGACCCCACTCCCGACCTGGCGACCCAGGGGGTCCTGGCTGGGGGGAGGGGGGGGGAGGGGCTGTTTCGGGCTCCTGGGGGAGAAAGAGCCGCCCCCACCCCCAGCCTGGACCCCCTGGATCGCCGGGTCGGGAGTGCCGGTCCTGGCTGAGGGTGGGGGGGGGGGGGTTGTGCTGTCCTCAGCATGCGCATGAATTTTCGGCCGCCTCTTGGATCAGCGCCAGAACCCGCCCCGCCCAAACCTCCCTGGCGCGCAGAGCGGGCCAGAGGCGCCGCGCGCCGGGGGGGGAGCCAGCGCCGACCCCAGAAATCCGTGCGGAGCTCCGACACATTGTATGTTCATGTGGTCCTCTGTTGCTCCGATCGCTTCCCTGTCTTCTCTCCTCACTCGGGTTTGCTGCCGTTTTTTGACGAGCGCGTCCCGGATTTTGACGGTCCAGTTTTCGTGGGATGTTTGCAGCGAGAGTTCGCGTCACATTTCAGATTGGGTCTCGTCATTTTCACGAGGGCCACGTCAGGCCAACCTGAGTGCCCCGTACCCGAGTCTTACGTCTCCCCAAGGCGGGGACAACTTTCTGGGGGCGCAGGCGCAGGGGTGATGCGTCGACCCCCGATCGCCCGATGATCTCTGTCAGGGGCCCGATGGCCCAAGCCCGCCCAGGACAGCGCGGTGCTTCGCTGTCGGGGATCGCCAGCCTAATGGCGATGCATCCCCGATGGCGACTCGATGTCCCCTCCCCCCCCCCCTTGAGCCGGCCCCTCGTTGGTTTTCAGGTCATAGCCCGGGCCTTCGGTCGGCCGGTCGAGACGATCTGGGCATCCCCAGCACGCTCTCGGCGAGGCGAAGCTGCCAGAGAGCAGGCACCCCGAGGCCAGAAAACCGCCGAGAAGCGACGAACACGCCCGAAAACCTCAAACCTCAAGCCCCTGCCGGTCCCCCGCTGAGCTGGTCCGCCCCTAATTCAGGCCAGCTGCACCTGGGGAAGCTGTGGCCCGAACCCCCCTGGGGGGACCCATTGGCTTCGACACCCCTCGCCGAAAGATCGTGGGTTGCGAAGGCCTCAGGTGGCTTGGGGGGGAGGCAACTCCGCGAAGCAGGCGGAGCCCGCTCAGCCCGAGCCGTCGGGGGCAGTGGTGGCCAACTTCTAGGCCAGGCTGGGCCCGACGCAGCCACCTCGGCATCGGCCTGCCACCCCCCCGTGAGCGGCGCCCCCGCGGTCAGCCCAGGAACCGTGTTCTGCCTCGTGCCTCCCCGTGCTTGGTATCGCTCGGACGTGTGCACTTTCCCTGGGCGGGGATGATTACGGAGCATCCTGGGTCATCCTGCCAAAAAGCCACGCGCGAGAAACCGACAAAAAGCACAGGAGATGGACGTCCGAGCGATGGCCAGCGTGCCCCGCCCCGCGCCCGCCACACCTGCGCCCCCTCCCCGGCACGGCGCCCCGAGGGCGGCTGGCTCTGCGGTTGGCCGTCGTCGCGGGAGCCGTCACCGCGGTCGGCGGCCTCTCTCCGGCCGCGCGAAGGGGCGGGAGAGGGAAGGGTTGTCGGTTGTGGACAGACCTCCCTTTAGTAAACCTCCCCTTCGTGAAAACGGCCTGGGGCCGAAACCGACGGACCTGGACCCGCAAGAATGACGGCCGCGACGCCCCCTCGCGAGCCGAAAACGGCCAATTCCTTCATCGACGTGTCAGGGTAGGAGGTCCCTCCACCTCCGAGGTTGTACTTCCGCTTTCGGCCACACGGATAGTTCTAGTTTCCACACGGAGATTTCTGATTCCCAGATGGCCCTCTCGGACTCTTGGACCCTTGCTGTAGTCACGGGTCGCCCCAGGAAGTTGCCGTTGCGGTCGACGAAAATGTGTGCTCATACATGTTTGCTAGGGAAAGGGGGGTTACGAACCTTGCTGCATGCAGCTGGTTTCCGCCCCGCCGCAGGGCCCTGCCCTCGATGCATGGGCGCATCTTGGCGCCAGGAGGCGCAGGGAGACCCAGCTGCACGAGCTGATTATCTGCCCTGCCCTTGGCTATCCCTCCCTTCGGTACGCCCCGACGCTTGCGGCATGCATCGCTTCTGCGGCAACGGGGAGGAGCAAACCCGCCGTGAAGCAAACCCAGATATCCGACGATATGTGTTATTCAGCTAGCGTTGTTTCCTCGATGTTGGCCTCCAGAGCTGGCTATCGGGCCGCAGGAGCTGCGACTCGAAAAAGTAACCTCTGCGGATGCCAGGACACAGGTCCTGCGGTACACGGGTGCTGAGCTGTTTTGGCCGTTTTCGGGCTCTGGAGCCCTCCACGGGACCCCAGGCCGTCAGAAAACAGTTCAGGATGAAAAGTTGGTCTTCGGGGATGGTCCCGGGGTCCACGACTCGGTTCCCTCAGGCCTTGTTTTGTTATGTTAGGCCAGCTGACCAGCTTACCCATCCTGGCCTGTCGGACCCATCCTAGGCCCCGAATCGGTGCATACGCTTGAGGGCGTGAAGACCAATCCCAGGTGGGCCCAGCCAGGATTGCTGAAGTGAACAGTTAACTCCCCCGAAAACAGGAAGTAAGGAGCAAAACGACGCTCCCCCCCCTCCTTAGAAGAAGTAAGAGTAGACGGAAGGCAGACGGCAGGAAGGAGGGAGGGGCGGGGGAAAGCGGAGGGGCGGAGGGAAGGGGGGGGGGGGAAGCGGACAGGCGACACGGGAGGAGGGGAAGAGCGGAGAGAGACGCGCAAGCAAGGGAGCACGCGACGGGCGGGGAGTGTGGGATGGGGAGGGGGGCAGCGGGGCGGCAGAGGCAGACGGGGGCGTGGGAGCCGACTCCGTCTTCCGGGCTTGTCCAAGAGGGGAGTGATGACAAGGGGGGGGTGCAGATCATGGTTGGGGCCATGATATCTCCCCAGATGTCGTGGCGCCTTTCCTTACTTCAATACGTTCTCTGGCCACCCCCTGGGCCGCGCAGATGCCTCGGGCTCATGAACTGCGACCCCCCCGAGTCCTGGGCCCCGCTCTCCTCCCGATCGTCTATCTCTCCCTCTCTTCCCTGCTGCTCCTCCAGCCACTCCTGGCTCAACCGGCTCCCAGCCGCTACCATGGGCGAGGACGGCGCGCGGGACCAGAGCGCCGGAGAGCGTCTGTCGAGATGACTCGAATAATACGAATAGGTTTGCAGACCTAGCTCGGCTAGCAGACCGAGTTCAGACCTCTCGATTCAACAGGCGAACGCGCCTCATCATTCTGAATCGATTAGCTGTGCTTACTAGCTCTGTAGCTGTTCTAAAGCTCGAGTTATGTTCAGAAAATCGTCATCGCGTGTCCAGAGCAGCGGCGTCTCGTACTAGGGATGCGTTTACGTCCACAGCGTCTGCTGGCGAGGGCTGGTATTCGCAGCGCCGCGCTTCTGCATCGCGCGCTTCTCCCCCTTGGCGCGCTGTCCCGTGGGTGGCCTGGCCCGCGAGGTGAAGCAGGAGATTGCGTGTATTGTGGCCGTGCTGGGCCAGAACAGTTGGCGCGGTAGGTTCGCGCCCTGTCGGCGCGGTGGCGACCGCAGCGCCGGACGTTCGAGGATGAGCGCCGACAGTGCATTGGCACGGCCAATATTGAGCGTCCTGCGCAATCACAAGGCCGCGGTCGCTCAAGAATGCAGGATCCACTCGGCATCACGAAATCCACCCCGCCGAGAGACCGTAAGAAAACGTCTGCCATACGTGTCGCAGTCTATTTCGACATGGGTTGCGCAAGGCATCTCTCGGACCACCCAGTCGTCCGTTGACTCAGCGGGCGTATCACTACCCAACAGGTAGCGGCATAGGTTGCGCCAGGAAGCTTGTGGGCGAACAAAGCGTCCGTTGCGAGGTTGCGCCAGGCACCCCGCGGGCCACCAAATCGTCCTCTGCCTCAGAGAGTGAACCATTGCGACGTAGTGTTCGCCATAGGTTGCGCCAGGGACCCCGCGGAAGAGTTATCCTGGCGAAGGACCCGACCACATGCAGTGAGCACCGCAACGCAAGTGGGACAAGGAGAGGGATGTCCCTAAGGGGCCACGAAACTTGTGGGGCGTGTGTCGGAGTGGGGCCCTTCCCACCCCCTGGGGGCTTCTGTGTGAGGGGTGTGCCGACATGGGCTGGGGGCCAGAGGACCGCATGTCCCCTCGGTGGGTCGGACTGGGGCTGGGGGGCTGGGCTCCCTGTCAGGCCACGAAGCGTGTGAGGGGTGTGCCGAAATCGATTGACCCATGTGACCCTCCCCACCCTCGGTGCTTCGGTGGAGCTCCCTATGGGAAAGAAACGTGTCATGGGGTTTGCCGAAATGGGCTGGGAGACCGCATGTGGCTGCCCCCCCCTCCTAGGGCTTCGGTGGAGCTCCTTGTGAGGCCACGAAGCGTGCAAGGGGTGTGTCGAAATGGTTTTGGGGGACGGTGTGTCCCCCCCCCCCCTGGCCTGGGGCTTCGGTGGAGCTCCCTACGGGGCCACGAAATGCGTGATGGGTGCGCTGGCATGGGCACGCAGAGAGCAGAGGTAGGGATGGGAGGAGGGAGGGGGGGAGGGGGAAAGAGTGACGCGGGGCGCTGCTGATTCACAGCGAGGACCCAACACCACAAACTTGTTGGGAAAGAATGCATAAACATCAATGTTCAGAGCTCTGCGCTGATTTCTTGGATCCCCTCTGGCGGCGCCTCAGGCGCCACACCTGGCGCGCTCCGCGCGCCAGGGAGGGCGGTCTAGCGTCGATGCAAGAGATCCGCGCAGACCTCCAAAAAGCGCGATGGTTACGTGTACAGTATTTGCTCCTCTGGAAGTTCCCCCTGGGCCCGAGGACTGGTTCGACACCGACATCCTCGAGTCCCTGCGATCGCCTGGATTCCCTCGTGGGTTTCCCAGCGTCGTGGTCGCGCTGGCGTCGCCAGGGTCCTGGCGCCAGTCCACGGGGCGCACCTCGTGGGAGGCTTTGGTGTTCTGTTACGCGCTGAGGCTCTTCGGGCCGCCCTGCAGGGATATGGAACGCGCCCTCCGCCCACGGGCCCGGCATGATCGGGCAGCCTCGTTCTTCCTCCTCTCCCTGGGGTCCCGCACTCCCGCCGTACATGTAAGTTCACGCCCGCTGTACATCTAAATCTGAAAATCGCGCAGCCTTTTCGGCGCCCCGGCGCCTCCGCCGTCGCGAACGCGCAGGCGCGTTCAGCAGCGCGCGGGCGCGGACATCGGCGTCCGTCCTCAGGGTCCCCGCACTTCTGTTCTTCCAGCCAGAGCGGAGGCGGAGGCCGTGCGGGCGCTCGGCTCGGCCGCCGAGGGCTGCCGCCGCGAGGGCTGGCAGGCTCGCGCCTTGGAGGCGACGCCCCCGCGAGCTGCGGCGGTGTGGCGCGCGCCGCGTCGTCGCCCTGGCCATTTGGCAGTTGCATGCGCTCCAGAGCCGTCGCGGCGGCAGAGGCCTGCGGCCACTGGCGAGGCCCACCCCCCCCTACGGGCCCAATCGACCCTGCAGGTTCCGGTTGCGCCCGCAGGGGTTCACCCGAACGGGAAACCGGGGTCGTCTTCACGGACATTGGCGCGTAGGCTCTTCCTCCTCTTCTTCCTCCTCCTCCTCCTTCTCCTCCTCTTCCTCCTCCTCCTCTTCCTTTTGTGTTCAAACATCTTTCAAGTGCAACATCCCCGGCCGCACCCGGATGTATTTTGATAAGGTTTGAGGTGTGTGGTGGCATTCGCATGTTATCGCGAGTTGTTGAATCGTGCTGTCCGCCCCCACTCTCTCCATCCAGGAAAAATTGGCGCAGAGGATGCTCGCGGAAGCGGAAGGTCGCACGTAAGAGTCTTCGTTTCCATTGTGGCGTGCAGCGTTGGCGGGCCGCGTAAGCCAGCGCTCAAGGTCTATGTGTCCTCTTGCGTGAGACCCGTTCTTGTTCGTCGTTCACTTGGTTACGTCGGCGCCCTGTCCATTGCATCAGGAGAACAAGCTTGCTCCATACAAATTAGCTGTCGGAGGTCCGCGCAGATTTGTTGGATGTGCTCTGGACCCCCGCTGGCGGCGCCTCTGGAGCGGCCCTTGGCGCGCTCAGCACGCCAGGGAGGAGGGTCCAGCGCCGATGCAACAAGTCTGCACGGAATTCCGACAGCTTTTACGCGTATGTTGATTGATCTTCCTTTATACCTGCGCTCCCGTGCCGCCGGCGCCACAGGCCCACCACCACTGGCGAAGCCCACCTGTCGGGGGGGGCACCGGACGCTCCTGGAGGGGTTCACCTGGCTGCAGACACCCTTCAAATTTTGAGAAGCGGCCACTTCTTCCGAAATTTGGCCCGCACGGGTAGGGTCCACATGTGGATGCTCAACATGCTCTTGAGTGGTGTGTTGAGTTTCGTTTCAAGGGTCCTGGTGAGCGTGACTGGTCGCTCGGGGCGTTTCGCTCGGGGCTTTCTGTCCAGTGCCAAAGGGAAAGGGGCGAGCTTGCATCACTGGGCGAGCGCCCGCCGATCCTGCAGAGGCCACCAGCTCAGGGCCCACTGCGATCCGACTCGAGCTCGATTCTGGCCAGCCCGATCCGATTCGAGCCCCGTGTTCCGACCAGCCGACGTGGCCCGATGCGTGCATGGCGCTGTTGTGGATCCCTGCGCGGCTGGTCCGACTCGAACTCCACTCAGTCCCAATGCGGCTCTGTCCAACGCATATGTCGATCGATCCAATTTCCCGATTCGACGTCGAGCCAATCGTGTCAGCTGTCTGACCTATGGGGCCAATGCCCGCAGTTCTCCTTCTCATTCTTGTCGTCGTCCTCCTCTCCTCCTCAGTCCCTCCTCTTCCTCTTCCTCCTCCTCCTCCTCCTCCTCCTCCTCCTCCTCCTCCTCCTCCTCCTCCTCCCTGTTCCTGCCCTCTGGGCGTTCGGGTGCTCTGGGCATCGGAGAACGGATACGAGGTTCGCAAGCAGGGCATACGGGCGAATGTAGCTTCTGTTACAGAGGAACGGGGAATAGAAGGCAGACATGAGGAAGAAGGGGAAGAGACAAAGAGGATAATGGTGGGGAAACCAGAGGGATGAGAAGAAGATGAGGAGGAGGAGGAGAGCATGCGGAGGAGGGAGGAAGAGGAGGAGGATCCGGATGATGAACGGGTGGAGGAAGACAGGATTCACCAACGAGTTTGCAATGAACCCTCCCTCCAAGTTCCCTTTTTCATAGGCCCCTACACGGATTTGTTTTCATTGAAGGAAATGCCCCGTTCGAAAAAAGCCAGTTGGAAATCTTGAATTGTGCCAGGACACCATTCCTGGGACTTCACCGCCGCGAATCACCGTTACTGTTGCGTCTTGAGGATCTTGGTTCGTGCGAGGACACTGTTCTTGGACTTCAACACCGCGAATCAACGTCACTGTTGCACCCCTGGCAGTCCGACATCGTGCCAAAACACCATGTCCGGGACGTTAACGATGAGAATCCTTGAAGCTGCTGTAAACTCTTAAACCGATTGTGCGTGGCGCTGAGGCGAGAGCCACATTTCGAAAAGGAACCGGCCTCCATCCGTGAAGCTCTTGGAAAGTATCAAAACGACTGTGCGCGGCGCCAGGGCGAGAGTCACATTCCGAAAACGGCCCTCCCTGTAGCCACGAAGCTCCTGCACTGCTGTTTTCAGACGGACGTGCGCGGCGCTCGGGCGAGAGCCACGTTTTGAAGACCACCTGACCGTCATCCCTGAGACTCTTGCATTCGTTCTAAGATGGACGTGCGCGGCGCCAAGGCGAGAACCACAACCACATGTTGAAAACGACCCGTCCTCCATCCGTTCAAATCCTGCATCAGTCTAAGACGGATGCGCGAAGCGCTGAGGCGAGGGCCACATGTCGAAAACGGCCCGCTTTCCATCCGTGGAATTGCTGCAAAATCTAAGTTCCGGGATCATAAATGGTGAGGAAGTCTCCGGCGAAACGCCTGGCCCGCTTTTTCGACCAGTTTCGGGGCGCAACAGGGGGAAGTCGTTTATAAGGAAGAGGGATGGAGGAGGAGGATTGGGAGCATGAGGTGAAGTAACGATGAGGTGGAGCGGGAGGGGGAAGGAGAAGGAGGAGGAGGAGGAGGAGGAGGAGAGGAGGACGGGGACGGGAGAGGGACGGGGAGGATAATGGTGCCATGTTGCCAGCGGCGGTCTCCTCGCGGGAATCCTGTTATGGATGGATTTGTGCCGTCTGCCTTTCTGTGCCTAGCACTCGCCCCGCGTCCAGGTCGTTGGCGTGATCGTGTCGATCATCGGAACGATAGTGATCCTCGCCAGCCACTCCAGCTAGGTCTCGCGTGGGTGTTGCAAGGCCTGTTTGACAAGGTCGCGTTAGATTATTGCTATGTGTCGGATGTCGTTCTAGTGCGAGGCACGTTTGGTTTACAACATATGCGGCTCGCATCTTCATTTGGCGCTATAGGTGCCTCCCTGCGTTTCAACGTGCTTCCTTATTTGATGGTGACGCAGAGCTGTATGAGGAGGAGAGAACGTGGAGCAGAGGTGGGGATTGGGAGGGCGGAGGTAGAGGGGGAACGAGGATAAGGAGGAGAATGATGAGGTGTAGCAGGAGGAGGATGAGCGCGAAGAGTGGCGGAAATATCGAGACAACGACACAGGAGGTCGCTCGACACCATATGTGCGCGCGATGCGACCATCATCATCATCATCATCATCATCATCATCATCATCATCATCATCATCATCAGCATCAGCATCAGCATCAGCATCAGCATCAGCATCAGCATTAGCATTAGCATCAGCATCAGCAGCATCAGCATCGGCGAGTCAAGCGTCGACCTTGACGCCGTGAGGGATCCAATGCCACCTGCACGAGGATCACGGAAGTCGTCCTCCTCCCCGCTCCCCCTTCTCATCGTTTCTCTTCCGTCTTCTTGCCTCTATTTCCTCCACATGCCTTCGTATCTTCCACCCATTTTCCTTGCAAATAACTCCCCTTGTCGCAACACCAGATGTGTCAGTAGGCCTGGCAGAGCGTTTCGCTTGAGACTTGCAATGCAGTACCCAGCGGTTACAAGGATGGAGAGCCGGCGGTTTCCAAAATGCGGTTCTCGCTTTAGTGCCCCGCGCTTTCGCGTTGAAGCTTCAATTAGTTATAAGGATGGAGGCCGCTTCGTTTTCTAAACCCAGCTTTCGCTCCAGACTTCCTGGAATTTGCAGATCCGAAGTTTCCAATTCTTACTAGGAGCTGCCCTCCATCTGTTTAGCTGCAGCTACACGGATGAAGGGCGGCTCTTTTTCAAAGGGAGTTCTGTCTCGCTCGAGGTTTCCGCTCAACCGTGCCGGCAACCATGATCATATGATGTTGCGTGCCGGGTGGAATGTTATAATGTCTTGTCCCCCGAGCCAACAATAGAAATTATCTCATGGTGCGCGCGTAGTGGGACGTGTTCGTTATGCCTGCAATTTCTCGATGTTTTACCGTGCGCGCCGAAGGGAGCACGTACACCTGGCCCCGCCTGGAGAGAGACACAGGAGAGGGGATAGAAGGGCTTGCGGAGATGAGAATGCAGGGTTAGGGGCAATTGGGGTTCGTCTCATGGCATCTGTGGGGACGCGAAGGGGGCACCTCATCCTCATTACTCGAACGCCTGGTATTGGGAATGCCTCTGGGAGGTTGTAAAGGGGCCGCGCCAGATAGGAGCCGTTCGGGGGTGGGGATGATCATAGTTTTGATCAGGCGCGCGTTGCTTCGTCATTGTTAGCTTTCGGATTGGGTTGCCGATGTTGGCACCGATGTTCCCACTGGCCACTCCAGGGGTGCAGGAGAGCCCGAAGCCCCCATCCACGCCACCCCCGAAACGAATCCCACGCACGCCCCAAGATATGTCAAGCCCCCAAATCTGACAACAAACCGAAACGGTGATACGGAAGCGCCGGGCTACGCATAGAGATAATTTCTGTTTGAAAGGAGGGCGACTGGAACTAGGGATGTTCGGGGTGCCAGGCTAGAACGGAGGACGCTGGGGGGGGCGCCTGATTGGGGCAGGGGGTATTTCAGAAAAAAAGCTGCTTTCGGGATTAGTTTGCGACGGAGCTGTGGTTGATGCCGGGACAGAACGGTTGAGCCCACCCCACCTGGGGAAGGAACCAGGCAGCCTTGCGCTCGACCCAGGCGATGATCACTGGCTCGTCCACGCTTGGCGTTGAATGTGATGTCCCTTAGGGGATGTGTCAATCTGACAGATCCAATTGTTATAAGTTCGGTGATCCTGGGGTTGAGTGTTCGTCAGCCCCACACTCCCCTTTATGGCCTCCCGAGAGTTCACATCTTGCTCACAGTATGTGTCCGATGCTGCAAGCTCTAGCATCCAGAAACGGATCACGCGCGATAAGCGTGCGCGTGGTTCTAGTGCGTGCACGCGCTTGCATATGTAAATGATATATGTGTATACATACATACATGCATGCATGCATGCATGCATACATACATACATACATACATACACACATACATACATCGAAGTAGGCCAGGGCAGGGCCCAGAACTGCGACCATTGGTTCGCATGGGGGGTTGGGGGGCCTTGAGGGCTCCAAGATGGTTCAGAAGGGGCCCCGGACCCCCCCAAGGCTCCCAAGCTGGCCCAAGAGGCGCCCAAAGTGCTCCAGGTCGTCTGGAAGGTGGCTGAAGAGCGCACTGGGTGGCTTCCGGACGGGCCACGAGCGCTCGAAGACAGCCCAAGACTGCTTCTAGACGGCCACAAAGGCATTCCAGACGGTCCAAGAGGCTGCCGAGGTCCTCCAAGGGCAAAAATCAAGCATTGCCTATGAAAAAATCAGAGTGAGTGGGCTGAACCGAACGGTCATTCACTATCCCTGGGTGCGTGGCTGAAGTGGAATTCCGCGATGCGGAGTCTTGTTGTTGTTGTTGCTGCTGCTGTTGCTGCTGTTGTTGTTGTTGTTGTTGTTGTTGTTGGTGTTGGTGTTGTTGTTGTTGTTGATGGTGGTGTTGGTGTTGTTGTTGCTGTTTGTTGTTTGTTGTTTGTTGTTTGTTGTTTGTTGCTTGTTGTTTGTTGTTTGTTGATTGTTGTTGTCGTCGTCCCAGCCGCGACCCGCCCCGCGACCCACCCGCGACCCACCTCGCGACCCACCCGCGACCCACTCGCGACCCACCCCGCGACCCACCCGCGACCCACCCCGCGACCCACCCGCGACCCACCCGCGACCCACCCGCGATCCACCCCGCGACCCGCCCGCCACCCACCCCGAGACCCCCCCGGCGACCCACCCGCGACCCACCCGCGACCCACCCGCGACCCACCCCGCGACCCACCCGCGACCCACCCGCGACCCACCCGCGACCCACCGCGACCCACCCGCGACCCACCCCGCGACCCACCCCGCGACCCACCCAAAATTTTCGGCGCTTGCGGCGGGCTTCTTTTGCATTCGTTCCAGGTGGAGAGCCTGCGACACACCCGCGACCCAAACCGCGTTCAGTGTACAAATCAAAATTTTCGGCGCCTGCGGCGGGCTGCTTTTGAATTCCTTCAGGTGGAGGTGGAGAGCCCGCGACCCAAACTACGTTCACTGAACAAGCCAAAAAATTCGGCGCCTGCGGCGGGCTGTTTTTGCATTCGTTCCGGGTGGCCCACCAGCGATCCCAACCGCGCTGAATTTGTCAGAGCACGCAAATCGGCGCCTGCGGCGGGCTTGCTCGCATTGGTTTGGGACAGCGCCCTCGTATCATTCCACCGATCCGACCCACGTTGACTCTACAACAGCACATCGGCGCCTGCGGCGGGGCTGTCTGAACACGTTCATTGACAATCCAGCTGCCTGCTGCAATTCGGCATCCGTGCCCAAATCCTGGGTTCAGGGGAAGCTGCCTCAAGGCGCCCACAATTAAGGGGCCTCGGGGCGCTCAAGGACCCCTCGGGACCAGACCGCGGCAGTCGCCGCAGGCCCCCGGCAGCTCGGGACCAGTCGCCACCGCGCCGTCTTCACGGTGCAGGTGGTGCCCGTTGGGCCCTCGCATGACGTGAGGCTCGCAGGCCGTCGCTCTGCTCGACGCTGTGGTTTCCATGCACATCGGGAGACCGCATCCGGGCTGCTACCAACGCACCATTTTCTCTTTAAACTTTATGGCTTTCGGTCCTCGCCCGCGATTTCTGCGCACAACGGGCAACGCCAGGCAGGCCATCATGCGCATCCCCGACAGCATCGATCCGTCGGGCGTTCCACCGTCCGAGCACAATGATTCGAAGGTTGCTCAAGACGGAGCCCTACGGGAGCTCCTCTCCTACGCCCGCCAACTTGCACGGGTCTGGCGCCGTTTCGTCATCCACTGATGTCCACGACCAAGTCGCTTGGCCCTCGGAGGGCGCAGCGCTTGTCAGCATCGCGGACCTGGCGCAGCCCAAGGACAGGCCGTGGTTGGTGGGATGGCGAAGCCATCTGATTCGAGATTGGTGGTCCGCAGAGGCCCCGGCTGAGTCAGCATGTCCCCGTGGGCTACACTGTGGCCCAGCCGTGGTCCGCGACGTGCACACAGATGCACTGGAGGCAGGTGGTTACATTTTCGGGCAGCTGCGGTCAGCCAAGTACCGTCGGCTTCCTTTGTCCCTAAGACGTCGGGGGCCCTCCACATTATTAGTGATACGAGGGCCACGGCGGCGCTAATTTTGCACAGGACGACGCGCGGAACAAAAAGAAACAGAAGCAGCCGCAAAGGGGGACAGGGAAAAGGCACATGCACAAACATCAGAAAGCTCGATGATTAGTCGGCACGCGTCAAGGACAACGCTGCGAAAGGCACACTGGGGGCCTGCAGGGGGGAGGGGCTCTGGCAGGTCCTCGGCGCAATGAGGGACTGGAGTCTGGATGGTCTTACTGAGCAGGAGCGGGCCGAGCAGGAGGACGAATCATGCAGGGGGTCGCCCGAGAATTGCAAGCCTCGGACAGCGGCACTGGGTCGCGCAGAATTAGATTATTGTTTGGGGGTGCGGTGGTCCGAAGAGGCGGAATAGGTTGAGGAGGAAGAGGAGTCAGTGGAAGAACTGGGCGAGAGAGAGCAGCGAGGAGGGGGGTAGGCCATCTAGGCGCCGCGTTTCCAGCGGCTCTCTGGGTGTTTGAGCGCTGGTGTCTAGCATATGTAGGCGTCTTTGCTTCGGCGCGCAAGCTTGGCAGACAGAGACACACACTAGATTCAACTCGTTGGCAACACGTGGGAGAATCAGCGGGCGCGCGCTCTTTTGTGAGCTGCGGGGGGGCGACGTGTCAAGACGCCGCCCCACAACGATGACCACTTTCCCGAAGTGCGTTTTCGGGCCTGACAGATGCCAACGTCATGCCTGTATGCTTGCGTCGACGTGTCATGTTGAGTGGACGAACCTTCTTTGCGTGCGGCGTGGGCGTATCTGTTTGAGTGCACGTCCTGTAAGTTTGCATGCTCACCAGGAGTGAGGGACTGATCTGGGTTCGAGCACCCTGACGAAGAACCAACATTTGCCCTTGTGGTTATTCG